ATAAGCGAGTGCACTCAAAATTTGCATCTTCCTTTTCATTTCCCCTTCCCAAGTTAAACAAGCTGAGAGAGAGGCAGTGCAGAGGCAGATGGGGTCCATGAGGTGGAAGACAAGTGCAAACCAACTTTGGCTGCCCCAGGTGTCCATGGCTTTCAAACAGGTTCTTATGCAGGCTAAGGTAAATCTTGAGAAACCCTCAGTCCCATCAGAAGCTTGTCAGAGAAAGTTTTAAGGAGCAAAAGGAGAGTTGCTAAATTTGATGGCTTGGAGTTCAGCATCACTTGTATTTGTCACTAGGAGCAGAAAGTATATCTTACATGTTCATATTCGTGCAACAATTCGTGCAACCTACACAAACTTCCTCTAGAGCAAGTGTTTCTCAAAGAAACATGACTAATTTACAGTTCATAAACAAAAACAATTTCATTTTTATTTGATACTTGAAATGGAAATGTAATCTTCAGAAACTGACACCAATTTGCATTTGCATGTATTAGCTTGTACAAAGCTGTAAGTTAAACCCTCACACCTTGTAACACCAAACCTGTACCCAGAACCAAAACTGCACTGCAAGTCATATTAAAAATTATATTTCTTGAAGTAGAAACGTCAACTTTTATTCCAGATTAAGTCTGAAGACAGAGGAAAGACCAGCAAAGTATTACACACAAATCTAGAAGATAGCTTCAGGATAATTTTCTTCTAGTAGAACTAAGAAATACTTTGTGCAGCAGTGAGAAGGTAGTAGTATATAAAAATATTTGGAAGTTATTCCCGGCAGCAATACTCTGGCTCCACTGAAACCAGTGGCTGAATGGTGTTTAAGTTAACAGAGCTGTGACTTCAGCTCCGCTATCCAGTCACTAGATGATGTGACAAGTCACTTTCCCCTTTGAGTGAATCAACTGTAAATTTGAATCATTATTACAGAGAGTGAGTGTCTCTTCTATAAACTCTCCCTGTACAGCTCCTGTAAGCCATGGTTTCACAACTTAAGGTTCTCACTGGTTTGGCTTGACATCATGCTGAACTGATATGATGTCACTCCATGTACATCAAAGGATGTCTCTAGATCATCGTTACTCGACAAACAGCATACACAGCTAGAAATGCACTGACTCATAGTTTTTAAGTGAGACATAAGGACAATAAGTTCAGTGAAATTTAATTTGTATTCCCATATTTAAATCTCAGCCAAAGTTGATGTCATGAGAGCTTCAGAGGAAAGCAGAATTATGGTTTTTCTTTTAGTCAGAAAATACATAGCTAGTCCATGATTGAGAAGGATTTCTTTTTTTCTCTCCTTGGAAGGTGCTAGGAATATACTTTTCCCTTTTACCCTTTCCCTTCTGTACTTCATGATTATTAAAACTAAAACAATTCAAAAAGTAAAAATTCATGTCTTAAATAAAACCTTCTCCTTAAGCATTCAGTGTTAAATAAAGTAAGCAGTAACATCCTTCTCTTTGATGTTCAGAGCTAGACAAACAGAAGTGGATAAGCTCTATTTATTTGCATGTATCTTCAGCTGCCTCCACTCCTCTTTCATACCACATTAATACCTGGAAATGCGAACTGCTTTTATTTCAGGGTAGCAGGTGCTTCCTCTGCTGTTGCAGGCTGCACTAGTCTGATCTCTTATGTTTGGTGACACCAGGGTTTATTTCAGGGAGAGCTAATTTGTCCAAGATCATGTAAACAGTCTTCATGGCTTTGTGCTCGTTGCTCCGGGTAATGTTCCCTGCCTCTGTCTGATGTATAATTTAAAGATAAATGTCAAACCCCACCTTTCAAACCAAAATCAGTACTGGTAGAAAGAGTTTAGCTGGTGAGCACTATTTCCAATGAACATCTTACTCATATAGATGAACATATGGTGTAAGCATCAGCTGCCCAAGCCACCTGCACCTCACTCTTTGTGTTCCGTACTGAGGCCCTGCAAGTGGTCAAAATTACGATGGGGAAAATGAGTTATTTGCACTTTCCTCAGTTCCTTTGGTGTACATCCCCTGACATGACCAACAGGTGCGCAGAAGAAGAGGCCATTCTACAGCACTGGGCAGGTAACTGTGCTGGGTGGTACGGAACAGGGCTGTTGAGCTCCAGTGCTGGTTTGGAGGTTCTTTGATAATACTGTCAGAGAAAAGGGATTCATTCAGAAAGGAATCCATAGAAATAGGTCCTATTCAGAGACCCAGTTAGTTTGGATTTGAGTGGAGAAATTCATGATGGTGTATGTTCACTGATCCCCAAACTAGACTAAGCACAGACACAAGTTTGCTGTGTCATCTGCATAGAGGGTAAATATCTTCAGTGTGCAGGTCTCATCATCCCTGGCACTGCAGCAGCTATTCAGACCCCGTCCATCTCTCCACATGCTACTGGAAGAGTCCCTCCACTGCCACAATCTAGCAGGCTGAATAAGCAGCCAGAACGAATTCAGATCATGCTTGAGCAAATTAATTATCTGACTGCCAGGATGTAAGAACTAGAAGGGAGACTCCCTCAGTGGATCAGACTGGGACCACTGAATACTGGGAAGAAAATCTCTGAAGTGTAGGAGGGGCACTTTCCCACTCACCGTAGCTGGAGGATGACAGAGGAGTCAGACTGAGCCAGACCTTCATGCTGTTTCAATGATATGTCAACGTGCCATCTTTTCTTAAAATCTTTCCTGATGAATATCAGACCCACATTGCCCCAACCCTCAAAATACAGGTGGGCAGAAGAGCAGGGGAATTCCTATTTCTAGGTGTATCTAGAGTGAGAGAAAATAAGTTTTCTCTCCTGCTATGACAGCATTAATAACAAATCAAAAGGGAGAGGGGATTTAAACCTTCCATGTTTATTCAGTATCACAGTTGATGTGCAGCATACAGTACAATAACTAACTCTGACAGTGCCCTCTGGCATGTAACCTGGTGCAAGCAGGTAGATACCTCTAGGGAGTCTACTTTGGAGGTTAAAATCAGGCATGGCCCAAGCATACGGAAGTAATAGAGTAAGAAAAGGACAGTGGGAGGAAGCAAGTCTTTTTGCCTCTCTAGAGAGTATGATTAATGGTCCTTTTGGTGGTAGGACTGCTTAAAAGTCTGAGCCTATATAGCTTCTGCCCTCAGAGCATTTTAATCAGGCAGTATCTGATGCTGGAAGATGGTCAGGGCAGGTCACCAACTCACATGCCAAGCTGCAGTCCTGATTACAGGTTCCAGTTATCTTTTTTGGCAGCCACTGTGAAGGTGGTGATTAGAGCAGCTTTGGAGGCGACTAGGTTCAGAGGGGTTACAGGGCCATGACTGGAGAATGAGGTTTCTTCTGTGGTGACATGGCCTTTTCTTTAATGTCATTGTGCCTCCTGTATGCATGTGGGGAGAATGGTGGTGTGGCACTCTGACAGGTCCACAGCAGTGAGCAGGGCACATGGCAGGTGGCTTCAATAAAGTGCCTGGCCAAACAGATGTGTCTTTACTTATTCAGAGATTGAAATGATGGGGACAAGAGGGCATGATGCCATTCTTCCAGCCTGTTCTCATGCCTGCATAGTGCAAGTGCAGAGAGGCATTTTGTTAGGCTATCTCACCAAGCTTAATGGGAAATATCCCATGTAGAGTGTTCAGTAATGCCCACCCCTCCAACAAGAATTCCTACCTGTGACCATCACTGATCTACAGCATAAGAAATGGTCTGCCTTCACACAAATTAGGCATTTTGTGAGAGCATTATGTGTGGATTTTTCCTTGTGAGATAAGGCTAAGATTCTGAGATTCCCTTGGTTTGGTTTTTATCTACAAGGTAGCTTAGGTTCAACAAGCTAGTAAAGCTTGTGTCACTACTGACCTAGGTAAAGCATTAAATTAGCAAGAAATCCACGTGTCCCTCCACTCCTATTTAAGGTTTTCAGATCAGCTCTTTTGGACTGATTCCTGTGCACCAATTTTTGAAGTACTGCAACAGAATATGTAGTTTAATTACAGCGTGTTCATTACTTGGGTGCCGAGAGTACTCAGCTTCTCAGCAGCTCCGCAACACATGAAAGGCGATGACAGAATCTCACTTGAGATCTCAGGCTTTACCACCTGAAATAGTTGAATAGCAGTCCTTGTAGCTTTCACCTTAAAAGGGTATTGGCATTGTGTTACACAGGGAAAGAAAATTTCAATACTTTCATTATGGAATTAGTAAAATTCTGATTGACTGAAAAATGAATCTGTAAGATCAAGAGCTGATAATGGGGGAACTTGACTCATCCACAATGTCTGAACATTCTGCTAAATGTTTTTGCTATGAAATCTGTAGTGTCAGTTTTGATTAGTTTGAACTCAGCTCACCCCGTAACTCTGTGTCTTACTCTCTTACTCCCTATTCGCCTCAACCACAAAAAGTGTTTTTCTTATTGCTGGCAAAAGGTGATTTATCTCTATACATAAAAATACTTTTTTACTGTTTTTAATGAGCCTCTTTATCACTTATTGTTTGGATGGTTTATTTGAAGCTTAAAATGTTTATAGAAAGAAAAATTTATATAAATCACTTCCAGAGAGTGCTGTTCAGTGATATCTCATAAACGCTGCTAGCATCAGCACAATACAGGAAGTTAATTTCCACAAGGTTAACCAGATGAGCTCTGAGACTGGTACATTCTACTTAATCTTAAATGACAAAGAGTTATGAATTTTATGTAGTTTTTATTTTCACATTAACTTTCTCTTCTGCAAAGCACAATCACTTTCCTATTGTTTGTAATGCTGTAGTCCTTTTAGTTAGGGCAGTTCTCTACAGAGGAAGATGTGATGCCTTCCTGAAGAGCTTACTTTTAGTACACAGACAAGACGGGCAGAAAGAGGGTGCACTAGAGAGATGTGATTTGCCAAAGGCCACACCATGAGCCATCAGCAAAGTGAGAAGCAGAATCCAATTCACTTGAACCTCATTCCAGTACCATACCTAGTGACCATTCTGAATCTTAATATGTCGCTGTTCTTGCTGTTCTTTTTTTGTAGTTCGGGACCGGGTACGATCAAAAATGGAGAGAGATATTTTGGCAGAAGTGAATCATCCTTTCATAGTCAAGCTTCATTATGGTAACTATAATAAAATATAGTTCATGTTCGTTCTTAAATTGGTCTGGGAATTGTGACTAGATGTGTTATAATTTCATACAGATACCCCTTGCCTACTTATGACTGTCTAACAAAGTCATAGAGGCTACCTGTGTGAAATTCTTAATTTTTGCTGAAGAATTTCAGTATAAGTAAGTTTTAGCCATTCCTCCATTAAAATATGTTTGTCATAAAGTCTGATGTGGTAGTAGGTAGTGTTGGTGGGGTAGCTGGCGAGTATACATCTGCCAACCCCCTCACCTGCTGTCAGGTATCTCTTAGAAAGCTAGTGAATCTAAATAAAATCTGGTTTTAATAATCAGCACCAGTCCAAATTTGTGTATATTTGTACATGAATGTGGTGTCTTGCTGGAGTTGCCTCCTTCTGCCTCCTCAGCCTCCCGAGGAGCCCCCTTATTACTGTAAAGGGTCTTCTGAGGACATTTTGGATAGGCCCTCCTCTTGCACAAGGCTGGGAGCTTCTCTCTATGCCTAGCCATTAGCGACTCCTGGTTCCTTGTGCAGTGGAAAGCAATATTAATTCATAGGTGCTTAGCATGGAAATTAATATATAAGTAATGTATTGTCTCTCAACTGATACCATTATTCCCATAGCCTAAGCTTGATTGCTTAGTTCTATACAGAAATTTTCTGCTCTCAAACTGCTGAAATGACAGGGAAGCTAATGTCATGCATGATATGCTGCTAGTCAACACAATTCATATTTTGGAGACCTTTATCATGATTCAAGCTTTCAACCTCTCCATCCTTTTCTAATGCAGCATTTCAAACAGAGGGAAAATTGTATCTAATACTAGATTTCCTGCGGGGAGGGGACCTTTTCACAAGACTCTCCAAAGAGGTAAGCCAATAGATTTTTAACTTAGAAATGAAAGACTCTCCTGGATTTCCAGAACTTTGGTTAAGTTGATGTGAATATTCCTGCAATATATATGTAATAGAATGTTATCATCTTGCATCTTTAAGAGGTTCATAATCATTGCATTTAAATTATGCCATAGGTAGTGCAGCAGATAGCATTTAAGCATCACTGTTGCAGAAAACTGTGCTACTAATAAGCCATCCCCATAGCAAAATAGCTCCAAACTCATTGCTTGCAAAATATATCTTGCACGTGATGAGAAGCAGTCTGAGAAATCAATCCCCAGTACATTTTGCCCTGGAGATAGGGACAAAACCACTGGAAAAACACAACTGCCAGCAGAAAGGAGAGAAGGCTGTAGGCTAGGGCTGACCTCTCCAGCAAGTATGCTAGCAGTAGTGTCAGCCAGTGAGCAGCAGAGGAGCCGTCTCCTGCAGCAGCTGCTGGGAGCAGGTTAGAGGCCATGCACCATGCTGGCTGGGGCTTGAAGGGTGACTGTCACAGCCCTCACCTGCTCTCCTCCTTCATGCCTGAGGACAGCCGCTGCTTCCATCACCTCCCTTGGCTCCCATCCCTTCCTTGTCCTCTGCAGCTCCTGCCTCTGGAGGTGCTGCTGCTGGAGAAGGAGGCAGCCAGAAAACAGTGCAAACATAAGTCTTGCTAATGCCTTAAGAGAGTGGCAGTGGTAGGGTTTCTAGCTTCATTTAGCACTTGACTGTCTGCAAATGCCTCTGTCTGCATTGTTTGAAGCAGCGCATCCTCCTGCACTTAGCCTCAGAGAGGGCCCTGCAGGCAGTGCAGAAGGCTCCAGGGAGGATGCCTGCCACCCTGGGGCTTGGTTGTGCCCCAGCGTTCTCTGTCTCTAACATGATGTCCCCAGCCCTTGATCTCTTTCTAGGGTGTGGAGGCAGTGGTGCAAGCAACCACCTAACACACAGTCTTTACAGATAAGGTAGGGGCCTTTCAAATGCCATCTCAAGGGGCAGCTATGTTAGCTCTCCTTGATTTGTGGAGTTACTGGTGGACTAAAAAAGCTGTGAAACAGTGCTTTTATTCAAAAGTTCCCTGACTTTTTTCCCCCACATCTTATTGCTAGTTTGGTGACATGCTGCAGTCTGCTGTGTGCACCACAGCTTGGGGAGGATCCCAAGTATTTGCTTTCAAGGCTTGTTGCTAACGCAATCAGACGTTAGCAACAGGCTTATTACACTGCCAAGTAATCGATACGCAGTACAAGGTATCAGTTGTTTTTTAGCAGGAGGAAAAAGATTAATGAACTTGAAAATATCCTTGTGCTATTTTGTCATGAAATCAGGCTTTGTTAACGAGGCAGCATGCTGTCTTAGCAAGGGGCTTTCCTGTTTCATGGAAGAAGAGAGAAGTGACTCTTACCTACAAAGGGCAGTTACCCGTTCTGCACAGTCAGGAAACTTAAAAGGGAAAGAGAACAGCTGAGATTTTGTACTCCTTTACACATTTTTCCCAAAGCTTTTCTAATGCAATGCACCAAGTTCTCTTCTTTATACTATGAAGAATGAGTCCTCTTAACTTTACAGTCCTTTTACATCTTTTTTCAGTGATTGCAGCTCATGTTGTGTACCTATACTTTGCAGCTGTTTAGTGTGAAGGTATCACAAGGGAAAAAAATATGGGAAAACTTGGTCTGCTTGAAATTTGTTACTTATGGTGTTGATTTCAGTGGACTTTCAATCAGATCCCATATACTACAGCATTATCTCTCTCCTGCTTTTTTTTTCTGAGACATCTGACTTTACCTAGATGTATCTGTATAGATTAGTTTTCCCCTGATTCTGTTGACTTCACTTCTTGCCTACATTTATGTTGAACCTTATGAATAATTCAAATTTATTTTGATAATTAATGCAGTTTTTACGTTCAGACCAATTATATTTTTAGTCAGAGGTTTTGCTGTTATATCCTTTTCCTTTCTAGCCTTTGGAGTGATAGACTTAATTAAATAATGTGACATCTGTTCTCTGAATACTGTCTTTTTGCTCTCAGCCCCCTGCAGCTTCTCAGAACATTCAAGACCAGATCCTTAATTTTAAAAACAAGCTCAGCAACTTCTATTGTAGATACTTAAATTTACATGACATCTAAATTTGTGTTGAGCTGACTCATTTTACTTCTGTCATACACAGTATTCACACTTGTGTATCCAATATACCAGCTTCTCTTTCTTCATTATTATCCTTGTATGTATTGAAATTTAATTAAAGAGAACATCTGGGATATAATGAAAATTGAACCAAAGGGGTTTCTTGCCATCTGAGTTTTCCTGAGCTTGGTGTTTTCTCAATTACAGAAGTTTCTTACCACCTAAAACAGAGCTTTCAGTGTTAGGAGTATCCATATCTGCTATAGAAAGGAAAGCTGCCCTCAGTTTAGATCTCATCAGATCCTCAATGTTAGTGCAGCACTGCTTAGGTCATCTGCACTGAGATTCCTTGAACTCTCAATGCATGGGTTTTTAAATCCATTTCTTGAGTCTCTTCATGCTTAGATTTGGAAGCATTTCATTTCCCGAAGGGGTTGCACTGTGTTATTTCATGAGAATTTGGGAGCCAAATGCCAAGATTTTAGCAAATTAAGAGATATGAAAGAAATAAGAGCTGCAATGAATGTATTGAATTTTGCCATTCATTTCCAAAGGCTGCAGCGTTAGAACCATGTTCATATTATTACAACATGGTGTCATGTAAACAGATCAAATAGATGAATGAAAGCAGCATGTTTTAAGGAACAGAGTTACTCGACAGATTACGTTTTGTTTTATATAGAAAATCTGGTAAGAATTGTTAATGTGAGCTCAGACAAATTGTGGAAAATTGAACCTGATACGATGGTCCTTCCTGCATTCCTGACTTAGATAATTTCTTCTCCATGCTGTTTAATGCAAGCCAGCTCACCACTGTCCGGTAAATAGATGTGTTCTCTTCCTTCTCTCTAGGTGATGTTTACAGAAGAGGATGTCAAGTTCTACTTAGCTGAGCTGGCCTTGGCATTAGACCATCTCCATGGTCTTGGAATTATTTACAGGGATCTAAAACCAGAAAAGTAAGTTAATAAGAAAGAGTGAACCAAAACATACATGCAGGTCGTTTCTGCTCCTTGTCACACGAGTAAGTCAGAAGGTGCCAGAGGCTATGCCTTCCTTCTTATATGTAAGACTTTACTTGAAGACCCTCACCATGAGCAGTAGGGTCTTCCTATCATATTTTTTAGCATGAGGCAAAATATTTTGACTGTGCTCCAGTATGATTGGACCTCTGTGTGCCTGGCCTTCAGTTTAGTGAATTATCTCAGCGTGGCATTCAGATTTTTGTGCCTTTGACTTCACTGCCACTGTTCTCCATTTGTAGCATTTAATCTGGCCTTCCTCTTGCTTCGGTACAATGCCTCAAAGCAGCTGCACTTTCAGCTCATACAAAATGTGTCATGGCACCATTCGGTTTTATTGTAGCCATTCCTAAATGAGCCTCTCTGAAAATTAGTGTGCATATTAGCTCATGAGGCACGTGATAATTGGGATTTTAAAACCACTTCATTATTAATATTAATGATCCAAAATATTTTCCCAGTAATTCTTCTCCCTTGTATTTGCAGCTGTTTTCTACTCCTAATGTGCTGTTATGGAGCACTTTTCTTTCTCTGATTTATTTACAGTACATCAGTAGACTAAATGACACTCTCAGTGCTATCACTCGGAGTGACGTGATACTGTTTTTATTTCATGCCGCTTGCCTGGTTCTTTGCCTGCATCTTCTGTGTCAGCTCAAATAAAACAGGCTACAGCATTTCGAAGTTACCAGCCTTTTTAATGTAATGTTTGCTGTCATTTAAAAAAGATGACCACTGGGGGCAGTCTGTTTGGCTGTTGCTTACACTTCCGAAGTTTAACAGCAGAGCAGCCTTTTCCTTCTGTGACATGAAATTAAAAAATATGCATCTCTTTCTTTGCACTGGAGTGCTATTGCTTTCATGCTCATGGATAAAGAGACCAAAAATGATGGAAGGTGGACTTTGTAGGTGAGAATTTGAAGGGGAGGAGATTTATCTGTAGCACAGTACTATCTGATTTAAACTTTAAATTCAGTTGTATGTTTGTTTTGGTTACAAAAATAATAGTAGTAGTACTATATGAATTCATATAGATGTATGTAGCGAGAGTCCTTTGGGCTCAAGACCCTGTCGCAGATAACTGAAATTCCCAGTCTTGTTTATGCAACCAAAACTGAAAAAGAGAGTCTTTGGCAAATACAGGAAGTCCTCCTGCAGATTAAACAACTGGAGGGAGAAAGGTGACAGTTTGCTACTAGTATGAAAGGCAGGTAAGGAGCAGTCACACTATAGCTGCCACTGCCACATGCTGCTTCATTGTCTACCAGCAGCTCTTCAGTTTCAACTTCATTCTGAATTGCTATTTTATTTGGTCAGCATCAACGAACATGTACGTTATAGAATAATTCTGATTATAGGTTTTGAGCTTCAGACCTTCTTTCTAGTGAGCATTAGTCTGAATCATGCAATACTTTTCTTTCTGGAGTTAGATGAAGCTGTTTTTCAAGCTAACATGTGATACATGAAGCTGCTATTAGAAGGTGTCCAAATAAGAGCCTGTATATTGAACTGTAAGTCACAGTGCTGTTTCATTTATAGGCAAATGCCATAATTTTTTGCTTTAGGAGAAGTTAGAAACCAAGGAGAAAAATAAGTGCATGTCAAAACTTTTCACTGTGTTTGAGATACGGAGAACCTGATTTTTAGCGTTCTTAGAATTGAGTGTCACTTTCTGTTTCAAAGCACATCTTTCACTGACTTCAATTGCAAGTGAGAGCACTTAAAATTTCTTCAGACCAAGCTGCAGTGCCTCAGATCAAGGATCAGTGAATTGAGAAATTAGAGCTCACCCAAGAAAGGAAGGTGACATTGATTTACCATTGTTACACAGAAGCATGTTGAAAAGGAACATACTCTAGGTTTAGAGTTGAAAAGGAATAAATGGAATCCAGCTCTTTGGGCATTTGTGTCTAAGCTGAGAGCAGCTAGCTGTCCCCCTCACTGTGTTACTCTGCTAAAATCCATGGGTATTACCTGTTCTTTCTCTGGAAGAAAACAAAAACTATCATCATGTAACTAAATTATATTTATAAAGTGAGATCACTGTGTAAAGTTAAGGTGGCAGCCCTTATGCTTGTATCTCCTAACTTTTGAGTATATGGTTTATGGTGTTTGATGTACAGTTAAATAGATACCAGTGATGCGTTTGAATCTGGATACAATTTTCATAGTATAAAATTAGTTTACATGAATATAGCAGTTGTACAGGAAAGGGAGTGACCCAGACTGGTATACCTCAAGTTTGTACCTGGGGATAAATCAAGTAATCTATTTAATTGGAAACCATATCTTTCAAAAATAGCTTTATAAATGCAAAGTCTGTGTGTAGTCATGCTTAGGACAGCAGGTCAGTAAAAGCAGTTTGAAGATTTCTGGGATGATCCTGAGGCTAAAATGTTGTTATTGTTTTGAAACAAAGAACTGGTTGGCAATGACAGTATCCTGTAAAAGCCTTAAACTGAGCAAATAAAATGGAAAATTCTCACAGTGAGAGGCTATCACTCAATGAGATTACATTTAAGATTTAAAAGTAGTCTACTACTTATGTTTTTTATAATCTCAAAGTTTGGTTTAGAGGAAAGATAGCCTGAATCACATTAACAACTTCTATTTTTTCCCTTCTGCAAAATAATATTAGTTTCTTTCAGATTAGTTGATCCTGCAAACCATAGCTAAAGTAATTGTCACAATAGAACTTCTACTACAGGCAGTGTGGGATAAAAAAGAATTGTAAAACAGTAAAGATAAAAGGAGAAGACAAAGTGTGATTGGATAATGTTTGTTTCTACAGTCAAAGGAAAACTATTTGTCTGTTGTAATTTGGATGCTTAGACGCAGGTACATTGTTCTTTGCTTCTTAATGTCACTCTAAGCTAATTCAGTGCAACAGTTACCCTCTCACTGCTAGCATATTCTTTTCTTTTACATGAAATGTAATTTTCAGTTCATAATTGTGGCGTTATATGTGTTGGTAGATGGCAAACATGGAAACACCCAGCTGTTCAAAGGGTGCTGCCAGGGGCCACAGGGGAAACTGCAGGCAGCTGAGGGCACTGTGTAAGGGTGGTAAGGGAAAATGAGACAGAGGAGGGATATATGTATGTGTGTGTGTGTGTAGGATAAACACCCTTAGGAAACCAGGACCCATTTATGTTGCTGTTCATGCAAACACTGAGTGTGAGAAAGACTTATATGCTGCTGGCTGACTTAACCTAAGACAGTATTATCCATCTGATAACTGTGCTGGTATTGCTCCATACCTTCAGTGAGGGTAAGGTATGAACACTCTGATGACGGGAAAGGTATGAAAAGACATGTATTGTATACATAGAAAAGCAGCAAGGATTTTCAATAGGAAATCTATATCTTAAGGTCATTTCCAACCCTAACTACTCTATGATTCTATGAAATATAAAACCAATGTTTCTGGGGAAAACCCCACAACCGTTGAATTGCATTGCTATTCATAGGGATTTTCCAGGTGTGGGGCAAAATGTTGGGTTATTTCTGTGAGCTGTACTCTCCCTTGCTGTTTTTCCAAAGTCAGGTCTGTGGAGTTCATACGTTCAAGCTCACCTCCGCACTGGCAGGTGTTCTGTTCTGTGCTTTTCTGGAGCACAAGCCTCTTGCTTATGGATTGAAGTCACAGTAATGAATTTAAACATGCCTGTTATAGGCTACAACTTCAAGAACGCTGGAGAGAAAGAATAGAAGTAAAGATGATTTATCAAAAAGGAATAGCTTTAATTATCCAACACGTAGTAGTGACTCAACTGCTGGCCTTTGATGAATTACACAATAACAGTATGTTCTAAGCACACAAATGAATGACAGAAGATCATCTCTTTTCAAATATGTTTCGGTACAGAGACAGCCTTTCACAAAAGTATAGCCCAATGTGTTTGTTTCACTTCTGTCATATTTTCTTCTTGAATAATTGGATTAAAGCGACTCTCTAGGAGAAGGGGAATATAAAAATAGCTGACATCTTGCTAGACCATTTTGAAAAGAGAAATACACTAAATCTAACTAGAACTGAAGAAACACCACCCTCATTACTGTTGGTATTTATAAGCAGAAAAATTACCCCCCCCAAAAATCATAATTTTTCGGTGTCAGTGTTCTCTCTTGTTTCAATAAAAACTGGCAATTTTTGTGAACTACAGTAATTTTTCTCAGAGTGTCTTTGTGAGAATAAAATACATTGGCAGGTGGCAAATGTGAGAACTCTTGAATTTAGCTTCCAGGCTGAATTTTCATTTATGCTTCCAGGCAGAATAAGTTAGCAGGAGCTAAGATCCATGCAGTTACGCTGTGACTAGTCATTGTACTCTGTGATCACTTTTATTACTTCAGCATGAACCTGACTACCTGTGCAGTTAATTTCAGTTCCAGTGAGTCCAAGCAATTATTTGTGTGCTTACCTTTATTATTATGAGAAGAAGAGAAAACCTGCAACTTCTTCTCCTGCTGGAAGCAGATATTCTGCAGCTGTGTGCTTTGAACACTCTGTTCATTCTGAGCTCAGCTTGCATGCCTGCCCTGAGCATGCTATGGATTAAGGAGTCTCTCCATGCAACTGCTGCAAGCCACGCATGCTTCAGCCATGAGACTAGACAGACCTTTGAGGATCATTTTTCTTTCTAGAGGCATATAATCCACTGAGGGTTTGTTTACACATGCATTTGAGTCTTGCATATTTCCTTATCTGTTTTAAGCATGTTCTGTTCATGTTTGTTAACTGCAGTCTGTGCCTGCCTAATGAATGAACTTTTTTGCTTTACAGCATTCTTCTTGATGAAGAGGGCCACATTAAGATAACAGGTATGTGAGGAAAAACTTCATGTCTCTAAGATGATTTTTTTTTCTGCAGTATGTTCCCTGCATCTTAGTCTTTGCTTGGAAAGAGTTTCCTTACAAGAATTCAGAAGCCAGAAGAGTTTGAGTGTTGGACTTCTCTGGCAATTTGTCAAGCACCCATGCTGCATAGCACATGGAGAATGCAGTGTTTTCTTGGCAAGATTGTACTCTTGAAGTATGCAGGCTTGGCTGCTTACCACTGTGGATGGAAGGATGCTTCAATATGTCTGCTTAGTCTAGATTAACTTATCTGAATTGTAGCTGTGCAGAGAACACCTGGAAAGGCATCCCATTAGAATTATTATTTCTAATGCTTTGGTTATCTAAGCAAAATTCTTACCAGCATTATCTTCACCAAATCTGAGCTGGGTATCTCTGCTTATTTAAACTCTCTCTTCTTCTTTGGGCCAGAATCTCATTCTGAGCAGAGAAAATGATAAACCTATTTTGAGGATGTATTAAAATGCCACCCAGGCCCTCCGTATCAGCCCAGCTTCAGCACAGACACGTCTGTGCCATTTTTGCACACAGAGAGTGCTTCGTTGGCTACTTGGTGTGATTTGTTTGAACAGTTTAAGTGAGTAAAAGCTTAAATAATCATTCTTACAGACCTGACAAGTCTTTTGTTGTTACAATTTGTTTAGATTTTGGTCTAAGTAAAGAAGCCATCGACCATGACAAGAGAGCATACTCATTCTGTGGGACAATAGAGTACATGGCCCCGGAGGTGGTCAACCGACGAGGACACACACAGAGTGCTGACTGGTGGTCTTTTGGCGTCCTCATGGTAGTGGAAAAGTTGTGTTTATTTGTTGGGGGGGTGGCTGTAAGAGTGATCAGATCCCTCAGATAAAAGTACTGCTTTCAGCAATTAAGGGTTGATAGAAAAGTAGATGTGTAATGATTGCTTGGTCATTTTTGTTGCACCAGTGATAGCAAACCAGCTGCTCCGGGCAGTAAATAAGGTAGCATTTGGCCCCAGATTGTCTCTCTTCCTTCTTACAGTTGTTTGTCTCAGTTGGTTACCATGAGCCGTAAATATTTCTACTGCACAGAAACACGGTAGGGAAAGCTCAGAAGAACACAAGCATTTCAGAACAAACACCCACCGAGTTGCCAACCTGGTTCCTATTAGGAAACAATTTCCCAAGCAGCAATTTTCAGATTTTAGAGAATTTTCAGATGTTAGAGAAACCTAGAAATTTACTCTTTTCTTCTACAAAATATAAATTTAACGGGCCATATCTTAGACAGCACTCCAAATATTTCACAGGACCTCAGTGATTCTTCTGCCATTCATCTGTCTTCACATCAGCATTGATGACTCTTGCTCCACTAATGAGTCAGATAATTTTTGAACTAGTAGTGGGTCTCCTGTAGTCTCATTAGTTGGTGGGAAACTGTGACTGACAAACCTCTCTTTTCTCCTGGTGAGAACAGAAAACAAATACATACAAGCACCATGTCATCCTCCTTTCTTCTTCTGTACTATTTTGCTATGTCTTGATTATGACTAGTTTGGGATGTTTGCTTTTGTCCTCAGTGCATGCTGAAGCTGATTTTAAAACTATGTAGAAACAGACACAATTGTATTGACTGACACAGAGGAATAGCTAGGAATCCATCTTTTTCTTACATGTCTTTACATTGGATTAACTATACAAAATTCGCATTTTTTCCCCACTGTTGCTTAACCTTTATGAGTCCTGCAAGCTGTTCTGGAGGTAGTTTAAATGGAATCAGTATGAGAAACTGCAAATTCATTCTTTATGCATGAAAACTCGATGAAAATTTAGCTAAAATGCAGTATGAATTTACAAAAAAAATCAGTCATGCTTGATTAATCTGGTGGTTTATTTGATGAGATAGACATCTTTTACAAAACAAAGTAAATGAAGTGGATCTCTTGTGTCTCTTTTATAGTATAGTATTTGATACAGTTTTGCAGGGGAAATTAATTGATACCTATACCATCTATGAGCACATCACAGGGAAAAGCACCACAAAGAGAAAGGAGCTGCTTCGGCTCCTTGCTGCTTAAGAAGTGAGGCCCTGGAAAACACTTCCTAAGAAGAGTTCAGCAAGAGATACCTTACTACAGTGGAGCTGCTTGGCTAGTAAGAACCCAGTAACATCCTCGTGAGTGCTGTAGTATTGGACACTGGGATGAAGTGTCAGGAAAGTTTTTCAGAGAGGTTTGAGCTCTCCTCAAGCCAGCCATCTAAAATCAGTTGTTTGGCCGCTAACCTGGTTCCTCCTACACCTCTTCAGAGTGTGCTGCCATTGTTGCTGAGGAGGACAAACGGAAGATCAAGAAGTTGGTTTGTGACACAGTGTTTTTTTAAAAGCTATATGACTGCTTTAGAGTTGTTCTGTCAAGCATAGCACTGCCCCTTGAGCTTAGACACCATGCATTTATTACTCTTACAAGGATATTCAGATAACACAGGTGCTGCTGCTCTCTCTCAAAGTGTACAAGCTGCATGTCTACCCAAATGTTCGATGCAAGGCCACTAACAGGCACTGCCGCTGTGGCTCACATTGCGCCTCACCGCGGCTCCCCTGCAGAACCAGGGTGGAAGCATAAATTAATGTAGCAATGTGCTCTTTGAATACAGCTCCATGTCATATGGAAGCTATTTTAGGTAGCTATATATTATCCTACATGCCCCAATCCATAGAGTATATTTAATTTTTTTTACCCAAAAGTAGACAACTGGTGTCACCAAAGTAAGGTTATGAAGCAATGTGAAAACTAATGGTCTCCAGTTAATTGATGGTGTATTTGGTGTATAGACTGTTTTTCTTTCACCTGCTAATGATTTCAGCCCTTTCCCCCCTGTTTTTTTGCTAGGGTTTCTTTTTCCTCTATCTCTTTTCACCCCCTCCCACAGGGATATGATGTATCAGAAAAGATAAGAATCCATATAAAAGGAGATGAGTTAGAGTGAAAGCTTTTTAACTGTAAGCGGATGCTTTAAGCCTTTGAATGCTACCAGATATCTTAGAGAAAAATAGCTCTAATAAGTTCAATCTTTTTTTCCTTTTTAACGATTAACTGGTTGGGACAGAAAAGGAGTATTTCCATACACTAAAGTGTGGGAGGATTTTGCAATGCTGTCTTTCACTCTGCTAATTTCTCCTTGTTTTTCTTGGTCTGTCACTTGTATGTTCTATTAGGGAAGCTCTTTTTTTGCCAGTCTGAAAAACTGAAGAGAATTAAATGGTATCCAGATGAATTATTAGCATTTCTCTCTAAGCAATTTGCAGTATGAAATGTACAGAAAATGTATCATTTGGTGAAATATGCATAGATTCAAAGGAAGTGAATGTGATAGTGTAATTTTCATACCTAAAATTTTGATTACAAGAGGGAATGTATTAGATAGTGTTAAAATGGCCTGGAAACTAGACATCAGATCAGAAGAACAACCAAACACTCTCTTGTCCGGTCTGTTGTGTGAAGAGACGTTGATGCTACAGTGTGAAGTTAGGTTGTGCTAGTGGGTCTTTGCCAACCTGCATTAACTAGGGCACAGGCTAAAATCAAAGCAAATGATCTTTGAAGGCAACCTGAAGTGTGGCATTTTGTGTTTATTAGTATCAAAGCAAACTTGTCTGAAAAAGACTAAATTCTGGTCTTGACATATCAATTATGTTATGAATTATTTTATTAATTGTTATGCACTAAAACTATTATATACTCTGTTCATTTGCTGGTAGCTTAGTATGTGTCAGTAGATATAGTTATACAAATGTTGAAATTCACCCTTTCCAAGTATTCTAGAAGACAGTACCTGCCTCTCATTTAAGATGTGGTGATGACTGCTAGGACCCACATAAAATGTTGTGCTGATGATTTTACGTGGTTTGTCAAGACCAGGCAGGTTTCATTTTATACCTTCCTGCACCTTACTCATTACATTGGAGATTTTGGATAGGAAATATTCTATAAAAGCTTTACATCAAAAGATCTGCATGAATAAGCGATTGACTTAAATTGTCAGAAAGTTCCGTACATGACTAATACCTTTTCAGCTGTGCTGCAAGAGTCTTGATGCCCACACTACCGTCTCTGAGCCCACATAAACTGGTCTGCACAATATAAAATGCGTATATATACCATAACATGTCTCTTGCAAGACCTGCCAAAGCATTGGTTCTGTAGTTCATCATATTGGGTGATTTACCAGGCCACAGATCTCATGGAAGTTGAGTCTGTTTCAGTTTGGGAAGAAAACACTGTGCGCTTTGTGAGCAGAGGGGAATATGATTAAAGAAAAAAGGAGTGTGGTGACTCAGTAGGTAGTCCCAAATAAAAAGAAATGTGTTTATACTTGTCAGCAATGTAGTGAATGTGTAAGTGGTGCCTTTCTTGCTGAATATTGGTACAGAACGCAAGTCAAGGATGGAGGGAAGCACAGCCTTCTAAAATGCTAGCTAATAGAAAGTGGCCCTCCAGAATACCCAGGAAGCAAAATCATTGTGAGGCAAGCAGCAAACAGATGGTTTATACAGATGGGGAAGAGGGGAGGGTGAAAACTGAAGTCTCCCAGCAAAACTATATGGTCTGCTCTAATAACCAAAAATACTACGGTGTTTCTTCACACCTAGGCTCAGCTCCTCTTCAACCTGCTGTGACACATACTACTTGCTGTTAACACCCTTGCACATAAATACAGAGTTCTTTGCATGTTTAGGTTTAGCAAGATTTTTGATTTTTTGCAAAAATTAGCAGGAAAACAGGTTGTTGTGCAGTAAAGTGGTATCTTTAACTGATGAGATTAACTGTTTTAATTTAATTTTTGTTTCAGTCTTGTTCTTTCATTTTAACCTACAACAGATTCAATCAGGACTGCAACTGAGAAACCAATGCTTTCTTTCAGCTGCTTCTTAGTTGAGTTTCTTGAAGTAAAAAGCTCTGGTACATTTAACTCGTGCAGCTGCCTTTCGTTTTACATATTGATATTAAGTGCATTTCTTCTGAATTAATCTCAGCATTAGACCTGTGTAATTGTAGACATGTGGTAACAAAGTGCTAACCATTAAAGCAGCACAGTAAATATTCTCTGCAACCTCCAGAACCGTCATTTTGCCTGTTCCCTCTTGCAACTTACATTTCTGTTTTCATTCCTTGTTTCTCTTTTGGACACTATCTGAATTTCTTGCCTTCAGTTTTCTTGGCCTCTTGCAGCCACAGTGCATTTACAGGTCTGTCCTGGGTTCAGCAGTAGCAGTCATTTTTCCCCGTCCTCGGCTTATGATAGAAGCAAGAATACATGAGCCATTTAAATTGTCAGACATTCTGGAGGTCCCACTGAGATTTGAACTCAGATTGGCGTAGCTGGCAGGATTCGAACCTGCGCGGGGAAACCCCAATGACTGGGTTTAAACCACGACAAGGTCTTTCTGTGATACCGTGGTGGGTGAGAACTACAGTCATCTTTTCCCATGTAGTCACTGACCAAACAGTGGTTTATATCTGTATCATCTATATCATCTGCATGAGCACCATCAAGCCCATTTCTGCCAAAATAAATAAGCTGTAGCAGTCATTGCTAGTGCTGTTAAATTAGATCTATTATGACAAAGTAACGTGAGCAAGTATAAGTGAACATTGGGTACTTAACCCTGAACGAAAATTCTTAATAAATCATGAGGAGGGGCTGGTGCAATACGTACCACTTCTGCTGCTGTCCTGAGAAGCAATGTTCTCTGCTCCTTTTCCCCAGTATATCTGAACACTTACAACTAAGTGCAGTTAACCTTAGGACTAAGGTTGTAGTAGGTCAGAATTGCTCTGAAAATGGTGCTTGAGCTCTAGTGTCATTTAGGCAGTTTCTAAAATTCTCCCCCATTATGTTTCTCTCTAGAAGGGGAGCGGATTTCCTCCAGCTGTGCCCGGCAACAATTCTTTGACTCTCCTAGACAAAGCAGGAGTTAACACGTTTGTTTTTTTTCCAAATTTTGTTTATACCCGTTAGCCATATACACTTTTAAAAGTGGTTTGCTTTTTTTTTTCTCTTGGTTCTACCATTTGCTTTATTGCCTTAAGGTAATTTGTTATTAATGCAGATTAATTCTTCAATTAGCTTTAGTCAATTAGTTATCTGGCTTCTAAACTTCTGCCTTCATCCCCAGAATAGTGTAACAGTTTCACAGTTACAGGGTTTTTTTATGTTTTCTTGCATTTTTCTTACGGTATGGCTATACTTAATCTGGGAAAAGGGAAGAGTCAGGCTGTGGGGTCATCTGACATAGGTTTTGGTAATGAAAGGATCCTTATTTTGCACAAACGTGCTTCCTGAGAGCAGTGAAGCTACTTACATGATAATGTACAGAAACTACATAAGGATTGCACAGTCTGTCCTGCCTTTAATAGGTATTTAATTACAGCATGAATATTAATTAGTAGGTACTTATTACAGTAGAAGAGGACCAAAGCCAGAGACATGGACATAAAGTAGCAGTTCTCCTTACCCTCAATGGACATTGTCCTCCTTTGTGCCCAGGCTGAATTATGTTCTTGGTGTCTTTGTATCTGGTGAAGGATAACCTTCAACATCACTTAGGGAAAACAGCTGCCACTCATACCAACAGGAAACACTGCAGCAAGAGCTGCGTGAAAGACCTGGTATTAAATCCATATTATGCAAGTTTCTTTGGCTGGGTTTTTTGTTTGTTTGTTTGTTTGTTTTTTTGGGGGGGGGAGTTGCTCGGGTTTTTTTCTGTTTGTTTGTTTTGGTTGGTTTGGTTTTGCTGTTACAATCCCTGTCAAATTTACTGAAAGCACTAATCTGTTTCAAAGGAACCATAACTGATTGATGTTTTCATTTGCGAGTTAGGCAAATAATTGATGATGATTGCTGAGTTTTACTTTGAGATTTGGGTTCAATTAAACACGACACTTGCAAAATCCATCACATACAGCCAAGGGAACCAAAGCAGGAGATTAAAAACCACACTCAGATGCTTTGAGAATTTAGGGTTTGTGCATGTTTCTCCTGCAAAGTACATTACTGTCATCTTTAAGTGGTGCAAATATTCCATCAAAAAAGGTGATGCAACTCAAGCTAAAACGATGGGGAGTGTCATGTTCAACCCATTTGCCTTGCACCATAGTCCATGCCAAACACCTAAGAACAGCCATACTCATTCAGGTTAAGGGTCCCTCCAGCCAAAATATCTCATCTCCAGCACTGGCCATAAAACGGATGCTGGAGGAAACAGCACGTATGACACTTCTTCCAGTACATACCAAAACTTGATCCCAAGTGTCAGTGTAAGCAGTTTGCAACAGCACTTTTGAACAAAAGAGTCATGTTGGTCCTACATGTTCTGCACAATCCAGACTCCCTGTGTCATTCTTTTTCTGAAGTACAGCTAGTTGGACCATTTCTTTTCCTCAAGTTTTTGGTTGTTTTGGAAAGAGAAGGTGGGTGTGGTGTCTATCCGCTATGCAGATCTCCTCAGTGCTCATTTGATTTACGATTTTGTTGTTACTCCACAGTTTGAGATGCTGACAGGATCGTTACCCTTCCAGGGAAAAGACAGAAAGGAGACGATGGCACTCATTCTCAAGTGAGTACCAAAACTGCTTTCATTCTTCTATGAGTTAACTATACTCTCTGGGCAGCCAGTCAGTCCTTAGTATGTGAAGGGTAGAGAATAATAATATGCATAATGCATTTTTCAAAGCTGCATAAGGCATGAATTTGGTACAGCGAACACAGTTGATGCCTGCATGTGGCTCTAAAATTGCCTTCAGAAAAATAGTGGGAAGTGAATTACTGAGAAGGTCTTAAATTAAGAACTGTATCTTACTTTCTGTAGCAACATCATTATCCACAAGTGGGAACAGTCAAATTTCTGCAGGATATCTTATGTTTTGTTGTTGCCAAATTTCACATCTTTTCCTTTGCAAATTTCCCATTCATTTAATGTTAAGTGCAGACATAAGTATTTAAAGGTTAGCTTTGCTCAGTATTACATATTTTCTCTGTAGCATGAAATCACCAAGGGAAAACTTTTATTCTCTTTCACGAATGTGCGGTTTCATATAATTATTTTCATGAAGTTTTCTTTATTTAAATGCCTCTTGATTCCCAAATTCATTCCAGCAAGCTAAAAAAGTGAAGAAAAAAAAAAACTATAGGAAAATGACCTACTTAGGTTGCAAAAGGTATTGTGAGATTCATTAGATCTTCCTCTCGTGAAGCCAGTATTAAAACCGTCTTTAGCTTCAATGGAGCAAGGTCAGGTGCTCACTCTGTATTGCATTATGCTTAGGTAGCCTTTGGTCGCCAGTCGTGTGTCCGCCCATCTGACTGCTATAATTCCACTTTTTAAACCACAGTGGGACGGAGAAAATCTTTGAAAAATCTATTTTCTTTTCAAGTGTTGTGTTCTTTCAGAGCCAAGCTGGGAATGCCACAGTTCTTGAGCATAGAAGCCCAGAGCCTGCTGCGAGCCCTCTTCAAAAGGAACCCCTCCAACAGATTAGGTATGCGCATACATTAGAATGGGACATTGCTTACATGTGCCCTGCCTTGTCAGGCGGTGGTCATTTCTCTCGGTGCATCTTCCCTGATAGTTATTTTCTTCATTTTGCAGCATTTTGCATTCCTTCCCAGAGCACAGCGACCCTTGAGCTTAGTAAAGAAATTCACAAAGAGCAGAGGCAAACCATTGGAATCTAAAACACTGTATTAGCTTGTATTCTGCTTTTTTTGGTAAAGAGGGAGAGTAAACCACCAGCATTTATGAGGGTTTAAGATAACTGTTGCAAATGATAATATAAAGAACTGAGAAACAGGTATCTTTAAAACCTGTACAATTTAGCTGCGAATCTGAGGTGGGGAGCAAAACGCAGTCTCTCCCGTTCTCAAATATGCTTTGATCCTGTCTCATTCTGTTTACTGAGAACATTTGTATAGGCTTTCTGCTTTACTATGCTAAATGTATTATCTTCTTTCTTACTAATGTGCTTTCACCCTTTGTTAATAAGCCTATTCAAATTGTGATAAACTTGAAGTATGTATTGGATCATGTATTTTATGCCATCCATACCTTTGTTTGGGAGTTTTATTAAGAAATCAATTTTATTTGGTGAGGTCATGGGCAATATCAGGTGCATGATTTTCATTGCAAATTTGTTCTTCAGTTTTTACATAGAAAAATAGATAGTCATATCAAGTGAATCATATGAAAGGTGATAACACTATTATTTTTCATTTAAAAATCATATCTACTTCTGTGAAAAATTTTGGAGGTTTCTTTTTTCCCTACAGCCTCATATTCTGCATTTTGGATGAATGCAAAGGGAAGCATTTGCTTCTGAAGGAAAGGGATAAACTTTTCCTAAATACCTCTTCATGATTTTTTGTGACCTTAGGAGCAGGAATTGACTTTAGGAGCAGGAATTTAAACCTTCAGCTCCGTAACCTGTAGCACTAGAAGAAAGCTGATGGGTCATATTTAAATATGTGAGTTACTGTTATTGCCATGTATAGGAGTTTTGTCAGCTAATAAATGACTTGCCTTTTAGAGAATGACATAGGCTGGTTAAATACTGAGACTTGTGAAGAGCAGTTTGCTGTTCTATTTTGCAGCTGTTTACTCTTGTAAGGTTATTTCAGATTGGAGACGTAAAGTTAGAAGCAAAAAGGTGTATTGGGAAATGGCTTATTCTGAGATGTGGAAAGAGCAAGAGATGCAAGAGAGGTTTCTCCCTTTCATTCTTGCAGTACCCACGCTCACTTCTCGGGTACTGAAGGCGGTGCTGCTGAAGGTCTGCTGCATGGTGCTTTTGGTCCTGTGTAGCAGTCACAGCATTAACAGCCAGGCAGGCAGCATAGTGTGAGATGCCTGACAGCCCACTTCTGTCACCATCTGCATGAGCAATGGGTTCTGCAGCTTCTGACAGGCACGCCTGTGCATGCACACATGTGAAGTATGGACACTGCTCTGTGCCCTTGAGCATCCGCCCTTGCTTCAGGCGGGGCAGCATGTGGGCTGCTTCAGCCCTCTGCTCTGTAAGCGAACATCGTTTTAGTGAATGGATGATGTTCTAGGAGCATGGGTGTTTCCTGCGTGGCTGCAGCAATTCAGCTGGAGCCCCTGCCTTACACAGGGGTCAGACTCAGTGGCTGAGCTTTTTTCCAAGAGAGCTTGGCTCCTGAGCACAAGGACAGTATGGAGCAGGTTGCTTCTTGCTGTGATTTCCGGGGACAGCAGGAGCTGACAACCCTTGCTCCAAACAGGGACCAGGGGACAACCCAGCCTCCCTCAGGGCTGGTCAGGCATGGAGAGCCAGTTCCTCAGCATACTCCTGTAGCCCCTCTCCTCCCAGGGCAGTGCCCACACAGCTCACACAGGTAATGCCCTCCCATAGGTTTTACTTCTTGAGCTAAATGGTAGCTCCTGTAGTGTGATACACTGTACAGATGATAGTAGAAAACAGATTTTCTCAGCAGGTTTCAATTGCTCTCAAGCAATTTGCTTGACATTAGAGAAAACCAGAGTCTTGCAATTTCTAGGTTTAATCTGTGTTACGAAAAATAAGATGCTGCAGCAAATATAAACCTTTTCCCACTCCCTCCCTCTGTTCCTTTCTGCTGTTTCCTCGTTGTCTCTCTCTCTTGGTTTGTTTTTTGTTTGGGTTTTTTTGTTGTTTTTTTTTTTATTGGTGCTTTTTAATTATTATTAGTATTCTCATTTTGTGGCTTCTCACAAGCTGTTATCCATCCATAATGGGGCTCCAGTGAAGTCAGTGGGAGTTTCTGGATACCAATCCTTAAACAGAAAGCTTCTCACTAAAATAAGCAAGTTACTTAGTTTTAGCCATGACTATTCCAGCCCCCATATCATCTCCCTTTTAATGGAGAATTGCTGAGGGTCAAGATTTTAAACCTGAGGCTTATTGAAATACTGGGAAGTCTGGGAGAAATGAAGAGATTATTCATAACACAAACATCCAAGGAAATAAAATCTAAAAACCTAATAAAAAAATTGATCTTAACATTTCAGGAGTAGCAGTGGAAAGCTTCTGAACGCTCTCTCTGTTTAACTGAGAATCAGCACAAGGGATAATGAAAATAGATTTGCTGGTAATGAAAAAAAGCAATGCATAAGTGGTTGGCCTAAATACTGAACAGAAGTCAGTAGAAAAAAAAGCACTGCTTGTACTTTGTGGATTTCAGCTTTTTCTGGGAAAGGAATAATAGTCTGAGGTTAAAATAAAATTAGGCTTAGACATCCTGTTTTGAAGAATCTTTGGAAAAATAATGAAGCGTGCTAAAATAAATGAAGTATATTATGGATCAAACACTTGTTTTCTGCCATTGTTTCAGAAGTTAGCAAATCTGGAAATTGTATTTAGTTCCAAAACATTTTTAGTGCTGGCAAGAGGAAGATCCCGAGTTTCAAAAATCATTTTATTCTGACTACTATCTTGCTTCTTGCCATTTGATTTTGATATCTTAACAAACAGAAGTAAAGATTGATAACGTAGTCTAAAATTTTGCTTTGAAACTTTCTTTTGATGCTTTGGATTATTAGTGGAAAAATGTTAGAGTTGAAGGGAGATGCTCCGACAAGACAGAGAAGGTATTTGGTAATCCAGTTTACCTGATTCTGTTTTTGGGCCTGGTGCCCATATTAACAATTTAGAACAAATTTTTAAAGACTAAGAAGTCCTCCTTCCTTTAGCGTCCCTTGTTATAAGCACTGTCTGTTCTTTTCTGAATGTATACACTCTGCTGTACAAATAGTCTGTGTAGCTCTAGTTTGGTACTATCACTCTGATTAAGTACAACAAATTTCAGGTTATCAACAAGCTTAATTTTAAATTCTTAAAAGAAACTAACTGGAATATCCAGGCAAGCAAGGAGTAAGCATCTCAGAAAGGAAATTGTATGATGAAGGCATTAGTTTATTACACTGCAGAAACTTAGTCAAGGGACTAATTCTTGCTTGCCCTAAGGCCTGGATCTGCTCAGGTAGGTGAATGAATGTAAAGAACATCTCACTAACTCCCTATGCTGCTGAGTAGTAGAAAGGTTCCAGAGACCTTATAATAGAGAAGCTTGGCCAAGAAAGTATAGAGTAAAAGCCAGACAAATAGTTATTATTTCCTTAATCCTTAGTCTCAGAGAAGATGCATACTGCTTTGGCACATAGAAAATATTATTTTTCAATTTTATAAGATGATGAGTTTTAAAAAACAACCTCTGCCACTACAGAGTGACTGCACATCCTTCTTGTAAGCCTTAGGAATGCATTTAAAAAAATCTAGCCCACTAAAACGATTCTGGGGCTGTGGAAAAACAAAATAATTATTATCTAAAGCTAAAAATGTGGAAATGCTTTCTGCTCATTTTGAATAGCAAAATAATCAACTTCCAAATTTCATAGGTCTTCCTTTTTCCCATTGATACATTTCAATATATTTCCCCTTCAATATACTTCAATATATTTCCTCTTCAATATATTTCAATATATTTCACATTGTCCATAATGATTCAACAATCAAAGCCAATGACAAGTAAAACATTCTACTATTAACTGCTTGCAGACATTTTTATTACAGGCGTAAAACAATCTTAGATAATAAAGTTCTCACTTACTAGCATGAGGCTGCTTTTATATAAATCCTTGCAGTCTATAATGTGTTTAAACTGGCAATTTGTTCTGAAAGCATTATTTATCTTCTTGGACCCTTGTGGGACTGGATAGTACATAAGAATATTTGCAGGCAGTAGGTCTGACTGTGCTTATCATTCTTTACAGATAGGTTTGATTACTACAGTGAAGTTACAAAAAACCCAACTAGAAACCTAGAGGAAGGTGAAAGGTTTGTGGTCATGTGGTGTGCCATCATGTGTGGCACTGCAGCAGTTTGCCAAATGCCCATATCTATCCTATATCCGAAATGTCCATCCCCATGAAACAGTTGTGACCTCTCCAGTGCTTCTCTTTTCTCTGTGAAAGCACATCTCTTTCCAATACCACTTTAGAGTTGCAGATGGTAGATGAATGGTTGAAGCATGCTGAGCAAATCCAGAGAGATTCCATCACAAGCACTGGTGCCTAACCTCTCCCATGAACATCTGCAGCAGGGTCACGGTTGCCCCTTGGGGCTCCCAGAGCTGTCCGTGAACATGCCCTGGGCCACCTCCCTGCTCCCAGCGGGGAGAACCCAGGAGAACCCAGCCACATGCTGCTGCCTATGGACACAGCACACAGCCCAAGAGGGAGCTGTGGGCTATGCCATCAGGTCTCATGGCAAGGAAGATAAGGGAATAAAACCTGCAGGAAGCCCTGAACCTTCTCCAAGGTGTAAAATTGGTTGCTGGGAATTGGAAGCCTTTCACTCTGCAAAATTAGGCTATTACCATGCTAAATCTCTTTCATACATTAAGCTAACCAGAGATGGAATCCCTGGCACTCAGAACGTGTTTCTTCTGTGCCAGAGGTCTGAGTCATCCCAAGTGTGAAATGCCAGTTTTTCAAACAAGTGCCTGTCAACTGCATGCTGCATTTCTTACTGGACACTGCAGTCCCCCACTAAGAGAAGTAGCTATGGGTGGGATTTGCCTGGGTCCTGATTTCTGTGGTTTTGTGGAAAAAAAGAGCAACAACAGTAGCAAAAAGCGTGGCTTTCAAAGAGATAGTCTGAAAAAGGCAGGTCATTCCCATCACACAGTAATGTATCCATAAGCCCACAAAAGAGGGAAAAGGGAAATGGCAGGGAAGGGACAGAGCAGAGCAGATTGAATGCCTTAGCAATTATCCTTAGACTAGGGAATGCTACCAGTAGCTTACAGTGTCTGTGGCATTTATCCCAATCCTTCAAAATCAGTTTGGCACTTGTTCTCTGCTACATGAGGACGAAACCCATCTACTGCACAATAGAAAGTTTCCAGTCACTGCTACTGAACACAGACATTTTTCACAGATATTTCTGCCCTGAGGAGTTGCTTAATGTAATTCTCCTTAGAGCAATTGTGTCAGTTTCATTTTTTTGTTGGCATTGTTAAATCAGAATGATTCTGCCAACGGAATCTAGCGCAGACTTCAGACTGCATTGAAAAAATATGCTAGAGAAGCCATAGAACAAGTTTCATTACTATCTAAGTCTTAGTATTTTCCTATGCAATACCCATGAGCCATAAATCATTGCCTAAGGAAGAGTAACAATAGGGTAAGCAAATGTTTTAACATCAAGCAAGGGGTTTCCTGAACCTTTTGTGGTTTGTCAGTGAATTCCACATTACACAACTATCTGCTGCCCGAGGAAACATCTCCAAGTTGTTCTGAACCGGACTGCTGCTAGCATCATAAAATGAACTGTTGTAAACCCCCTCAGTCTTCTCTTTCCAGGTTGCTAAGTCCTGGCCTCTCAGTCATTCCATGCCATTACTTGTTGCCCTTCTGTGATTTTTTCCTTTTCATACCTTTAATAAGTATACTCTTTTATAGCTGAGGATGTCAGCTGCATTCTGTACTCCAGTTGTAGGTGTACAACAGGCTTATATAGTAACAATGTAATATGTTATCCTTTTTGATATCTCTTCTTCTAAAATATGATTTCATGTTATGTTTGCCTGGAACTGTCTGTCCATCAAACCTCACTTCTCAGTGGAGCACATGATTTTGTATGGCAGGCTAGAATTATTGTTTATCCTCATGCACGCTACTTACATTTGTCTATACTGGAGGATTACCAGGATGGGAAGGTCAGAAGAACATTCCTCTTGTGTTATTATCCAGCAAGCCTGACAGACAATCCTGCATATGTTCACAGAGTGTTTGCTTTTTGTATCCATTCATCAGTGACTGTTAAGCAGGCTGTAGGAAGCCGCTCCTGATCAGTGCAGTTTGGCAATCAGTAATGTCTTGTCTGCAAAGGGAGCAGATGTCACATTTTACAAAAGCTTGAATTGACAAGACCTTTCTAAAGCTGCTTGTAATGTTGATCTTCAGAAAGCACTAATACTGCATATAAAAAGCTGAGTCCTCTGAGGTGCTGAGTGGCTTTTGCAAGGTGCTTATGAATCTCAAATCTTTTTAGTAATCAAGGATGCTCAGCATTCTTGTGAAGAAGTGCTGGGTACCTTTCAGGAACTGTTTCCAAAATCGCAGTGCAAAGCCTTTCCTTCCAGGTGTTATTTCTCCTACTGGAAAATAAAAGGTGCTGTTAATAAAATCAAATCATCCCCAAAAATGGCAGGCTAAATCATCTCTGACAGTTGTGTAATTATTGCTGAGCACCTCTTGGGTTTTGAGGTGCCACTGAAGCAAGTAAATTGAGGTAAATGAATAAAAAAAGCAATCATCAATGAAGACATAAGGTAAAAGTAATGCTAAGGAATTAGACACATTGCCAGATTTCAGAAGTTTCCCTAAATTTCCTGTAGTAATATAATAGAAATTCATCACTGTATTGATTCTGGTACTCACACAGATTTGAAGACGGTATTTGAAAAGGGGGAACCTAAAACCCTGATTTGCCTCAAATCATTGGAGCGTTTTTGGTATTTTGAGTCTGAACTTATTTGTAGTGCAGCTTTCTCTGCCCATGGAGTATGGGTAATTGGACAAGACTTGAAAGCCAGTGTGGATAGAAGAGCTGATGCTGGTGGCAAGGAGCAGCAGTAACCTTGCCATAGTACTCAGAATATCTTGAAGCCTTTCGTGGTCTCACTGGTGTATGTGCTGTGCAGCAGTTGACTGTCTCATCTGAAGCCTGAGGAGACCAGCTATTCAGCCTTGGCACCGGCCTCAATTGAAGAAAAGTAAAAATCCCTCAGCCATCAGATTTTTGTTAATGAAGTGCTTTTGTCTGTATTTATGGTAGTTCATACTGTTACGGCAGTTGCACTGTTCAGGGTTTCTTGACTAGAAGAAATACTTACGTGGTGACTTCAGCTTTATCAGAAGAAAACGGGGGATGGGGAGGAAGGCTTGAGAAGAGATGTAATGCAGGACTCTTCTAAGCATGACTTCATTTTGATTCTTTCATTCTCTTGTCAGGTGCTGGATTTGATGGAGTGGAAGAAATTAAACGGCACCCTTTCTTTGTTACTATAGACTGGAATGTAAGTGGAGAAGCATTTTATGTTGGGTTTTTTTTCTTTATTATTTTTCTTAGATAATTTTTTAAGACAAAATGCTTAGAAGAAAAGATTAAATGAACTCTTAACACAGAGAACCTGGGAGCTAGAGCCTTTTAAGTGGGTGCTTATGTCTCTATCATATTTGGCAGGCTTGCAGTTGGACTTAATGATCTTCAGTGTCTTTTCCAATCTAAATGAATCTATGATTCTATATATACATTCATTCACATACCCATAAATGAAAGAAATAGAAATCTGCTTTCAGCATTGCCAGTTTTATCTAACTGCTTGTCTCTATTTTGTCTGATGATCTGGCTTATCATGGTACTACCTGAGGCTATTTGCAGTCTTCTGCAGAATACTTTCCACATTCAGTTCTAATAAACTTAATTCATTGATTGTGGGAACTGGACTGGAGTGAAAATGAGCAGCTTTAAATGACAGAATTCCTGTAATATTTCAGTTGCAAAAGAAAACTGATACAAAGGACTGATATTGAGTGAAATACTCTAGGGAGAAGCAGTCTGATGCTCTAGGTAACGCCATCTTTCTGCTTTTAGGTTCCATATGGAATGCTTGTCTCTTCTCACTGGGTTGGCCAAGCTTAACTAAAGGCTAGGTTTATTCTTTCTGATATCAAGGACCTCCTGGAATCCTTTTCTTTCTTGGAATTATTCAGAGCAGCCCCAGATCTGCTCTTACATATCTACTGACAGTAGCTCCAAGGGGCTTCAAGACCTCTAGGCTCACCCTTCTCCACAAACAGAGCATAGCAATACTGGGACTGTCTATGTATCTGTAGAACTGGTACAGCAGGCTGTACAGCAAGTTGCACTGCTTTATGCTGGGGGATTCATAAGTCTTCCAGCCATATAGGTTTGTCATTTTTGGCTTAAGTGACCATAGGACAGGATCTGGCCCTTCCACTGTATTGCAATGAAAGCTACAGAAAAACACAACAAAGATGGATTTTTCAGAACAGTGATTTAATATCACTGACTCAAATATCACAAGCCAACCAGCCAGAACAGGGAACAGCAACTCCTCTTACAAGTGGTTGATGTTTTATTGAGGTGAGTCATTAATTTAACATCAGCACTCAAAACTGGAACAGCAAACATTTGATCAAATGTAACATGGGTCAAATAAGACACGTCGAACATGATTAACAGAATGGTAAACAAGGATTTATTTTATTGCTATCAGCTACAGCTCATGAAGCTGGAGGTAGAGATTAGCTAAGTGTTAGATTTAGACTTGAAACATACAAAACCTTCTCACATTTTCAGCATCATATTTGTTCAGATCAATTTATTTTTAGACAAACCTGGAGGCAAACACTTTGTTCTTGATCTGGACATCTACCAGTGCATCAGAGCTCCTGTTTGCCATATCCTCTAGAATTTTCAAGTTTAGTTTCATCTGACCTATGTTATAGTATTGTTATGTGTCTTTAATATTTGATCTCAATTCACTCGTGAATGCTAGTGTAGCAGGTCACACTGATGCAGGTCTCACTATAAATTCTTGTAAAACAGCATGAATGTATGTGACAGAGCCATTCTCAGACTGCTGCCCAGGGCTTTAGAGTAAAGCCAGTTCCTCTGTGAAAGAACATTTTGTGGTGCCTAGGTGGGTTTTGAAAGGCCCACAGAATCATTCATCTGGGGAAAACTCATGAATCTAATCTGAATTGCATGTGGAAGAGCTGGCATGACTCAAGCTTGTTAAGAGATGATCAATGAAGGTGGAGTTTGAGATTCTCCTTTATGATCCAACGGACTTTCAGTCCCATTACGTATTTCTGAATTTTTGATTCTCTTTCTTCTTCTGCTTCTTACTAATCATGAGATTCTGTCTAAAGACTTTACAGATATTAAAAGTTTAAGTAAAAAGAAAAAATAGAGAAACCTGAAGAGTAGGGTTCTTTATTATTATGACTATGATTAATAATAGTAGTATTAGTATTATTTTCTATATTCCTCTGATATCTCCACAGTCTTCAGCTTTGCAATTAAAATACAGATCAGGTGCATGCATCTTAACATAATAAAGACACTGGAGCAGTAAGAGGATTTCTGCTTCTTCTGTGTTTGCTAGTGGAGCAGCTCAGTAACTCATCACAGAGAAACGAGGCTCTGCGTCTTGGAAAGGTTTTCAGCAAAGTCAGTTCTGCGCTGTGAGACTCCTGAAGATCACCTTCTCTCATGATGATTGGTGATTGTTTCAAGCTCAGTTCTTTAGGAAACAATTTCATGCCTGTCTTATAGAAATTATACAGTCCTCCATCATTTGAAAAATTTTTATGGATGGGTTAGGAAAATATCTACCGTGAAGAGGGTAGGTATGCTTGAACATGATTTAGAGCTAGAAAGAAAGGTGGATTTAATTGTACTTTGATGTTATCTAGTCCTCTTGAGTTTGCTGTAAAGTATAGCTGTAAATATCCATTTTAATCCAACATAATTAGTGCTGCTGCACTCTCTTGGAGACAGATCATTATTACACAGATCAGCTGTCATCTTTGTAATGTATTTTTTCATTTAATCCTAATTTTACTATCACTCATGGAGGTCTTGGGAGGCTTATCTAGTTAGAGCAGTAGCACTGTATGCATTTCAGAGCAGTGTGAGCCAGCCTGGCCGTGAGGTGAAGCCAGGACTTTGTTTTAGAATGATCACCCAATCAACTGTTAACATGTTCTCCATGGGCAGAAACAGAGCAGGGTCAGAGAACAAAAGTGGGTCAGGCACAGATGTTCAGCGCTGATCTCTGTACAGCTGCAGGAAGAGTCCCTGATGCCCTCGTTTTGTTCTCTTATCACATACATACAATCTCTCAAATCAGTTTTCAGGCAGTTGGCAAGCAACATTGTTGAGGCAGGACATCAATGTTGATTTATTTTATACCTTGGTAATATAAAGACCTGAAAGCAAGAGGCAAGCTCTGTTGCAGAACTTCTGTGCTACCTTGGCAGGTATGATAGACAGGACTGCTGCAACTGACAGCATAGAAACTTTCAGCAGCTGTAGAAAAATGATTTTCTATCAAAAGCCCCCTTAACACAAAGGGTCAGAATGGGTGAGTGTCTTCTAGGAACCCAGTGTGAAATGGGTGGGTTTTTAAGCAAGATTTTTGCTACAGTAGTGACATGATTGGTAACAAGGAGAAAACAACCAAGTTGCTTCGTCTAATTTTAAAAAGAGATTCCAAACAGAAATGAGTGAGCTGCTTCCTTCCAAGCTGTGTGTGAAGTCTAGGTATTGCAGCAATGAAGTCATTCCAGTCACAGACAGAAATGTATAAATTGGACCTTTATTTCAGAGTATTGCCAGAACTGTTCCCATGAGTTTGGGATTGGGGCTTGGTTTTCGTCTCTGCCACTGGAGTTTACCTGTTGGAGAAGTCATTTCCCACTTGTTTACCGTCCTTCACTGCCTTCAAACAGATGCAACCAGACGTAGTGTCTGGTTTGGATGAAGGCAGCAAACACAGTGGAAACAATATATGCAGTGGATAAAAGCCACCTGTTACAATGCTGCAGATGCTCCTGCCATTCACAACTGTGCTGACACACATGACCACTGCACGCAGAGGCAATGGGTACACGCCTGAAAAACATGAGTATGGTCAGAGAATAGCCATCCTCCTTCCATCCTTTCCCAGATGCTCTTCCCATGTTCCACGGTGCCATTATTCAGCACAAATCTCCAGCCATCCTAGGTTAAACTTCTGACGTATAAGTAGCACTAAATTAACTGTGAACAAACTGGCAGAGATTTTATGCCCAAACTGAAACTGTGGCATAAGCAAATAGCTGTAAGAGTCTCGGTTTTACAGGTATTGTCACCACTAACAAAATTCTAAATTCCTACTTCCCAGGGTGAAAAATAGATAAAGTTTTCTGCACGTACCAGTCTTACTGCTCTAAGGCATTTAATAGGCACTGTGACAAGAATTCAATAGATCCTTTGTTAAGTGAATGGACTGTCTTTCATGATTAAGCCTGGGTTTTACAGGAAGAAGATTAGATGTCCAGCTCCTTCTGAGTTTTACCTGCTTACTACCTTTGCACCCCCTTTTATCCCTTAGACAAGCAGACTCAAACCGAGTTGACCTCAGATAATTTTAGTCATTGGCTCTGAGAAAGCACAGTCTCGTTCCTGATTTTTTATTACCATTTCTTCTTTCCAAGTCGTGCGTAAAGCATTTCTGTCTTTTCACTGGAAATGAAAAATGAAATCCCTTTTTGCAGTCAGAGAAGTGGGCTATAAACAGTATTTTTTGTTTAGATGACAGGCTGAATTGGAACTATAGGAAATGATACACTAGAAAAGCAACTGTCAGATACAGCTGAGGGAAGGAGTGGGAAGAAAATGGGTTCAAGTTCAATTTCCTTCAATATTAATCTGAGATCAGACAGAACTGAAAACATCAATTATTTAATTGCAGATTTTAACAACAGCAAAAGAAAGTGATCCCAAGGTCTGAATTCTGCTAGCTCTTCTGTCATTTGCAGGGAATAACACTGAGTCATTAATCTAGGAGAGGACAAACATTTTAGAAGGTAGTTCATCCTTTGTCTATTTATTGGGTTTTCCATGACAGGTATATGTATCAAGGGAGTTTATTCTCACACTACAAGTGCGTCACTGTGCAGGGTAGCATCTTTCTATTTCCAGAAGGTGTCTGAGGAGTAATTCAATTCTTCATCAAAGAAACTCAGTTGAGGAAATGACTAAATAGCTTTTAATTAAATTAAACCATTTTCTTTTTCTTGATATTTGCCAGACACATACATGTACAGGGCATTTACACCTCTGGGTTTTTCTAGAAGTGCATTTTTTTAAAGATGATGAAAAATTAACTGCTTATAAATAGCAAGAGACAGCTGCATGTTATAGCTTTTTGTTACTAGTCTCCCTGGTGTATTACTTGAGTCCCAGTTGAAGAGGTGTTCAGATGGAGATTAGATTATGGATCTGGCAACATACATTAAGAAAGGGTCATTGCGACCTGAGGGGAAATGATTTATGCTTCCCCCCCCCAGCGTTTTGTCCCAAATTGGAAAGAAAGCTGATAGAAGCTCACAGTGCTATGGAAGCTCACACTGCTATAGAACTGTGTTCTAGTTAATTTATAGGTACTTATTAATCTGAAGGTACTGATTATCAAAGTCTCAGAAGGATGTGAAGGGTTGATAAGTAGACAGAAGCATGCATATGTATCCAGGTGTGAATATCTGAATCAGTGCTTTCACACTTTGGAGTTCATCCCCCTCATTCTGTGGATTATGCACTCGCTCTTCACAGCCTCTGGAGCCAACAGCCATGCATGATGCACAGTGATTTCTGATAGCTGCCACTCACCTTTTTCTGTGATAAATCAATGCTGTGGCCAGATTGAAAATACGGGCATGGGATGTGGGCTGTTAATCTTTACCGGGAAAGAGAGAGAATTTACATTCTTAATAAAGCATCAAGAGAAAAGGAATGCTTTTCTCCTTTGTGCATGTGGAAGCAATGTAGAAGAAAAAGAATCTTCAGCTTCTTATATCCATGCAAAATAACACAAATATAATGATCTTAAGCACCCAACCTGAAATTTAAATGTTCCAGTTAACACTAACATATCCAAAGTCTCTTTTGAATGTCTAACAAGATGCCTCTAAATAACAATTTGGATATGAAAACTGTGATTTAAGCTGGGACAGCTGGGACCCTGTTCCCATTCAGATAGGTGGTGGAACTACCAGTGACTTCTGCATATAGAGCCAGGATTACCATGACTTGAGATGTACTTAATTATTTAAGCTTTACCAGAAGTTATGTGACAGCCTGATAGAAATGGCCAAAACCAAGATTTGATTGATTCGGTTTCTATTGAAAGAGATCAAGGTGATCCATCAGCCCCAAATAACTTTGGGACCACAATACAAGATAATAGGTTAATGCATTTCACCTACGGAAATATTTGTGGAAAATCCAGAAGGTTCTCAAATCCTCCACAAGACTTGTTCCCTGTGTGTGCAGAAGACAACAGCTGTGACCCTTACTGTTTTCTTCGATCAGCTTGTGACACATCGTGTTTTGCAGTCTACAGGATGTGGAGTTTTAAAGGAAGAGCATGGTGCCTGCACCAAGCCTTCATGTTTAACTCTGTTGGGCTGCCCTGTGGTTTAGTGTGCTTCAGTGAATTGGCTTTGATTGTAGTGCTTCACTCAGAAAACTGGAGCCAGTGGGGGATGGGAAAGCCCATAGAAGACATTGCTCTGCTTCTTGTTCCTCAAAGATTTGATTTTTCCTAATTTAAATTAGTAAGATTTAATTTTTATTATTTTGATAGTTACCAGATTCAACAGCTTGGGGGGGAGGAGGAAGAAATGTGTTTTAGTCAGTTTACCTTTTGCTGTTCCTAGTTGCCTAGTCAGAAATAATTTCTATCACAAGTGGAAAAGGAAATGGAAAAGGGAGTCATCCAGGTTGCACACAGAGGATGTGCCTTTCACTCACACAAGCAACTTCTTTGTCTGCATCACCTCCCAGCAAGCAAATTTGTGATTACACATCTTTAGGTGGCCTGTGACTCATGATGAATCTTAAATCCCTCCCTAGTAGAGGAGGATGTGGGTTAGGGATTCAAAATACAAATGTAGCTCCAATAGCACTTAAGAAACTACAGATGGGGATAGGAATTAAGAGGCCAGAGAGAATATGGTTACGATAAACGAGAGAGAGTGCAGTTCCTGAATGATGGACGACTCTAAACATTCTCCACTTTTTGGACCTCACAGGATGAGGGGTGCATTTAATTTGAGGAGGAACCATGTGCATGTGACCATATTGCTTTCTGTAGTAGAAGCACTGCAGTTGTGAATTAAGACAAATAAAGGGAAGCTGGAAGCAAACAGCTTTCTCAAGGTGAAATCCTAGCAACCAAAAAACCTTCAGTAGGTGCCGAGTTCTCTTTTAAAGTTCTGTGCAGACATAAAAATATACATGTTAATTGCTAGGTTGATACTTTTCAGTTGATGAGTGGCACTTCCTGCTGAAGTTTGCAATTGGCTTTTAATTATTTGGAAGACTGGCTTTCCGTTGTGGCACACAGCATTTATTCATCTGTTTTTCTCTCAGAAGATATGTAGCAGTTTTACGCAAACAGGAACTTTTTATGGTGAAATGGTCATTAATTATTACACAATCATTTCCAGCCTCACCATTCCACTTTTCCAAGGAATCATAATTCAACCACAAACATATCCTTTATGCTAATATATGCTATAGAATGTCCTGCCTCAAGAACCTTTATTTATCAATGCAAAATCAAGTTCCAGTTATATTGATGTGTATATATCTTCAGCTTGACCACATGCTTTATATTACAGAACTTAATTCACTACAAAACCCACAGTTAAAAACATTCTTCCTGCATGCAGAGAGCTGGACATGCATGTATTAATCTCCATTAAATATTTTGAAAAATCAGCTCATTATGAAGTTTTTTAAGAGCTAACCTGAAAATACATATTACAGTCATAAAATAGAGCTATCCAGCTCTTACCATGACTTGAAAGCTTGCATGAAATGTGTTTATGCTCAGACATGTTAATTATTGGATGCTGTCTATGGCAACTAACTCAGCCCTTTGAAACCTGAGAACAGAAGTGCTGGCAGAAGGGAAATGCAGTCTAGGGACTGCAACATGAGGCAGAGCGTGAGACTGAAGCTGTGCTCCTCATGCCACCATCGACATGGTATTCAGTTTTGGCCATTTCAAGCAGAGATGATGCAGAGATCACTGAAATCATTAGGACTCTTTCCATTAACCTCTGTAGGCTTTGGGTCAGATGCAGATGTGCTGCACCACAATTTGTTCATCTTCAGTGTGTGTGTGTGTGTGTGTGTGTGTGTGCGCGCAAAAAGCACAGGGCAGCAGTTTCTTAAAGATCACTAAGGAGGAGGAAAGAGGCCACGAAGTCCTTGGTAATAAAGGCAGTATATTAGCATGTGTTTATGGAGACTGTTACTTACGTGATCCCCTATATGTCCCCTCACTTGCTAGCACAAACTCACACACCTAGCAGTGCTTACCTGTTACATTCCTCCCTCTCTTCCTTACCTTTTTGTTCGTGGTTTTGTTCCTCTGCTCAAGCTATGTTTAGGCTTTCAATATGATTCCCCCCTCCATCCGCAATGCTTTCTTCCTAACATCTTTTGATAGGAATCCTTAGCTATAAGCACCTTCCCTTTTAACAGATATGCCAAGAGTCCCTTGTTTACCTTATAATCACCAGGCAGCCAGGCCTGTTGCTCAGCTCAGTCTGGCAGGGTGTCAGACATATTGCTGGTTCTTAACAAATAGTAAATGCTAAAACAGTCACTGCTTCCTAGTGGTTCTTTGTGTTCATTGCCATTGCTGCACTGCTGAAGTCACCCAGGCACAGATTCCTGTTGTTACCTTTGCATGTTCCAGTCCTGCTCTTAAGACCAGTGAATTTCCAGATGCCCCAGGTGGAATACTGTGCCAGTCTATGGACTAAATTTTAACCACAAACAGCTGTGTTTATATTCTGGATTCCAGTAACTAAAAGTGCAGCGACCATCCAGGGCACATGTTTTAAGCTGACTAGTGAAGCAGGAGCCAGAGCTACAGATACATCACCCATTTTTGTGGGTCCTGCAAGGATAGTGCAGAGCTGAGAGAAGCCACTCTAAACAGGGCAGGGGAGCCTATCTGCAGGTGCTGAAGGTTTACAGACTGTTGTTGATTGTGATCTGTTCTTCTCCTTCTAGAAATTATACAGGAAAGAAATCAAGCCACCTTTCAAGCCTGCAGTGGGACGGCCAGAAGACACCTTTCATTTTGATCCAGAGTTCACATCTCGGACCCCCACAGGTTAGTAAGGTGGCACATGTTTTCAGTGAGTAAATTCATTCTCCTTTCACCTCCCCATTCCAAAAAAGGCCTGAAAGTCTGATCACCTGTGTAAATTACCTCAGCTTCAAGGAACTTTGCATCTCTGCAAGTTAGTGTATAATTATATATTCCATGGATGTTTTCTTTAGCTATGAAATCCCATAGACTGTGGACTGTTGGAATTTAATTCATGGTTAACAATAGTGAATTGTCAAGTTCTCAGATCAGCAAAGTTGTGCCAACAGAAAATATGGCAATTTTTAGAAAATCTTGCAGTGAGAAAATCCTTGCAGTCATGCCTATAATTTCTGTTTCCTAACAGGAACATCACACTTTGTGCACAATATGGTATATATGAGGGTGGTTATTGCACAAAACATCATCTTTACACTCTTTTAGATGAAAGCAAGAATATCAATAACCCTAGAGTAGTAATTCCAGTGATAATGTTTCCTATTGCTAGGTATGGATAAGCTACATTACATTTCTGCCTGTGATTCCTGTGTAAAAAATGTATTTATACGTTCTAAAATGTAAACGTTTAATTAGTTGTTTGTACAACACTTTGAGAATAGTAAGTGATTCAAATATCACATATATTGTGATTGCCCCAGAACTGTTGAAGTAAGAATAAAAGGTCTGAGCTTTCGTTATGGAAACCCCAGCATTATACAGCATGAATCAGAGATGAGGTTTCCTGTAGTTTTTGTTCAGGCTCATCAAGACCTTCAGCTTTTTGCTTAAAACTAACCCAAACCTCAAAGCCTGGCTCAAACCTGGGATATGAAATAGTTGTATCTACTCACAATCTTTTGACAGTCTTTGTTCCTAGATTTTTTGGCAAGGATGTGCTGACTTGCACAAACTGTAAAAATATTGCACTCTGGGTCTAGCTGGAACATCCACCTGTCTCCAGTATATGTCAGTCATATTCTGATAGTCCTATCCCACTGTATGGAAACAAATTATCTTTGGATACCAGATATTTCACACCTTTGATTTTAGCTTTAATTCAGATTTCAGAGGAATTAATTTCTCATACTGGAGACTGCACATTACTCTGATGTTGAGAGACGTGCAGGCTGGTGCTGCCCTGGAAAGTCTCAGAGAAGCACTTGAGAGTTTAGATTGCTTTGGAAGTTCACACTTCATTGGTTGTATTGGCATGAAAACCCTTGTATTTCATGCATGTGGTGATGCATAAGGTTATGTTTTACACTCTGCATGTTACTGCTGTTTCCTAATTCTGTTTGATAACTCATGCAAGAAACTTACTTGGAAGGTTTCTCTATGGGTTGGTGGCTAGGGTGTGGAAATGGCCTGCCTCAATTCTGTTTTATGTTATTAAGGAACGTGGTCTGAAAATCAACCCCTGTCATTTCAAAATAGGTGTAATTGGAAGTGTGAATACCTTTGCACTTCCAGAGCAATAGAAAAGCCCTTGCAGACTGGCAGCATATTTTGCAGCCCCTGATGTTGACTGGTTGGGTCAGCCAGAATGGAAGATCACAAATGTGTTTAATACTGGCTCACACTGCCACTGGAATCAAACAAGAACCTTTTTTAGTTTGTATTTTTTCTGTCATGACATAGGTCCCATACAAACTTACCCTGTTCCTGAGAATGTACCCTGACAGAAAGCACTGTAATAATTCCTGTTTCCTGATGATAATGCAGTTGTGTTTTAAGCAGCTCCTAAAGCTGCACCAGAAGATCCCTATGAGACCAAAAACCACCACTACTAGGGCATTGTGCCTTTACACTTGCTTCAGAACCTGTCTTTTCTACATTCTCCTGATCCACACAACATACGTTACCCACACAGCCTTTTAGTCTTTGTAATTTCTGTAGTCAAGTTGTGCTCCAAAAAATAGATATAGCCATGTACAGCTTTCTTTCATTGCCTGGATAGCCTCTGCTAAGCCAAAGGGTTGCCCTGCCTTGAGCCATACACCTTTCTCCCGTCCTCGCTCTCCTGTGCTTTTTCTCTCTGTGTGGGCTTCTGGCACAGGCAGTGCTTTGCCTAAGAATGACCACACACTGCGAAAAAAAGCCTCTGTATCCAAAAGGAGAGATCTTTGCAAACAATGCCCCTGCATTGTTCAGATCCAGAGAAAAGGGATGGGGAAGGCACACCAAAAACTTGATATGGAGGTGAATTATATTCATGTATGCCTGCCAGTTTAGCAGCATCTTCTATTAACTGGCAGGTATGATTTTGCCTGTTGCAGGTGCTATGCTATTCCTTTATGATCTTTTGTGCATCTTATGAAGCCATTTTCATTCTTCTCCTACAGATTCTCCAGGTGTTCCTCCAAGTGCCAATGCTCATCACCTTTTCAGAGGGTTCAGTTTCGTTGCCTCTAACTTGATGCAGGAGCCTGCACAACAAGATGTGCACAAAATCGCAGTTCACCCAATTGTGCAGGTAGCAATGCTGATGTTACGCTTCCCATTTGATGGGCAGATATGTATGTGCATAGTGTATTTAAACTACCTCAGCATTCTCACTGGTATTTCACAGCCACCCAGTGTAGGTAGGAGGTGTTTGCATGCAGCATGTAGGAGATGTAGGAGAACAAGAATTTTTAACCAAAGGCTTTCATATTTAGCTTCATGATCTCCACAACCTTTACAAAGGAAATAGAAATCACACCTTACCACAACTGAAATTACCTGAAACACTGTTCCACTTGTGCGTACCAGGCAGGTAATGAACTGCTTTTTCAGTGAATATATGTCATTCTCAACAGTTTTGGATTATATGACACTGTCTGTGTTGGCAAAGGGGCCTTATGAACTATTGCTGTAGGCTCCCACAGACACTCAGCCCAAGCTCCTGGGCGTAAGAGGCCGTGTTCCTCTTACAATTGCACAAGAGCGTGAGTGTACTCGCATGACCTGGATCAGCTTGACGGGGGAAGGACTCTTGCCAGACACTTGGTTCTTTGCTGCCTTTCCCCCACAGCTCTGTTTCCAGTTACTGCAATTTAAAACAGAATAAATTGTTACACATCAGGGGAACAGTGAACTGGGAGAAAGAATGGGGCTGATTAAAGATGCAGCAGATTTTCCCGCAAGGAAAAAGTTCCTCTCCTACCCACAGCTAGAGGTATACGTGCCTCAAGGGGAGAGCCCCTGCTTCTGGTTTTCAGAGGTTTCCATAATTTTTCTTAGTATTCTAATAATCTGCAGTGGAATGTGTCATATTCTTAAAGATTCCCTGATGCAACAATAAGTGAAATGTTATCCAAGCAATCACACACCACGATTTTTATGTATATTCCTGTGGTTTGCTTTGTAAAAATGTATTGAATGTTAACACATACATCTCTTACAGTTTAAGACGTACTTCACTAGTGAGGTTACATTTTTAGCCAGAGGATCCTAGAGGATTTTTAGAGTTCCTGGTCATTTCTTGAGTCCTGAGATAGAATTTGCAGCAAGGCCTCAGATTGTTCCACCATCTTAACCAATCCACTTACCCAGATGTTTCTGAAAGGTCTTTGAAATAATGATGCCATAATCCATTCTGTACCCTTCAGTAAATAAAATTAGACATTTTTAAGTATTTTCTCACTAGTTTCACCAGTAATGTGTTTTCTTAAATTAGGTTGGCTTAAAATAGTAACTTTTCTCTCACACAAAAAACATAATAAAATGTATTCTGGACAGGGCCTCCAGTGGTCTGGAGGCACATCCCATAAGTGAAGTATCTGATTTAAAGTCTGTGAAGTTATTAGTGATTTATAAGTCGTCTGGTCCCTCAGTAATTAGAAGTAAGTTTAAATTGTCAAGATATTTGTGTTTTTCAAGGGATTTGGGCCCACGGTTTCCTGTGAATTTCTAATAGGAAATGGTTGTCTACATTCCATAAATAGTTTTTAAAAATCACTGTTTTTTTGTCATTACTTCTACATGGAAAATTCCGCTTACACACTGGAAAAACATAAATGGGAGGGACACACTTGTTTAAGTAAAGAGTTTCATTTTTTTAACTGGACTTAGAAACTGACTGCTAAGGACAAGCGAGCTCAATGAATGAGAAGAGATCAAAATTTCTTCTATTAAGACAAGGCTAGTCCTTGCATTTAAATACCCATGTCCTGGTTACCTTGTTTCTTTTGTCTTCCCCTATAGCAGTTACATGGGAACAACATTCACTTTACAGATGGATATGAGATCAAGGAGGACATAGGAATTGGCTCCTATTCAGTGTGCAAGAGATGTGTTCATAAAGCTACAGAAACAGAGTTTGCAGTGAAGGTAAGAAAGCCTTCTGGTGGATGCCAGAAATGTGGTTGAGACTGCTCTGCCAGCCTGGGCAGCGGTGTGGTCAGTGGGCGTTTTGTTGGCTTATTTCTTGTTGAGGGGTGTTGCTTGGGGTTTCTTTCTCTTTTAGAAGATGACAAATTTCATGAAAAGCCTTATATTATTTCTCACACATTAACCTCATCAATTAAAATTCCTGGATGGAAAAAAAACCTTTACAGTCTTGCATGGAAATTCTAATCATTTCAGCCATGCTCCATGCAAATTAGGTAAGATTCTTCACAGGCCCTACACTGAATCATCATAAATAAACAAAATAACATATAAAATAATTGCAAAGTTGAAATAACATCTTATTCTTCTTTCTGAAGTTATTTAGTTCTGACATCTTTTATTGTAATTAGACAGATTTGTCAGTGAAAACCATGATCACCTTCAAAACTCAGATTTTCTTTTGGCTCCTTGACATTCAATATGAACATGCTACACAAAGGAGTAAAAGGCAATCTTCAGCAGAGATTTAAAATATTAATTCAGTGGAATTTAGTTGGACCTCACTTGCAGTATTGTCTACAGTTCTGGTGTCCTCAACCTAAAAAGGACATGGAATTGTAGAAGCAAGTCCAGAGGTTACAGCTCAGAGGAAGAGTTCCAAATATTTAATTTTCTTTAAGAAAAAAGCTCAGCAATTAAAACATTCATATGTTCAAAAAATATGTCCTATTTCTGGTTTTGTACCAAAAAGAGACAAGATTGGATTAAATGAGTAATTAGTATAATGAATTTGAAAAGACATGGACAGTTAAGGCAGATCCTTTCATTCTGTATGATCTCATTGGAAAAGATTGTGTAAATGAGCTTAAGACAAAAAGTTGCTCCTTGAAATCAGTACATAAAGAAATGCATTTACTGAACTTGCAGTAAATGAGGGATTCTGGCCAGTTGCCCCTCTACCTTCTTATTTTTAAATTTTAGAAAGGATATATAAACTTAGCTTATAAATTAGGTTGTGTCTTTGCTATTAAATGAGATGCTGGGAGCTTAAAGAAGTGAAGTCCATGAGATAAATGAGCTGCAGGTAGTCAACAGAATAATATTAAACCTTTTTACTCAGTATTATTTTCTTCTACAAGACTGATGATAATGAAGTATCCACGAAAGTCTGTTAAAGTTTTGGTGTCTCCCCAGGGTGGCCACAAAAGTCTGGAAGCCACTAATAACTGACAATCTCTTGATGTCACTCCTCAAATAATGGTTCGTTTTTCTAGGCTACACCGTAATTAGGAGCATGGACCTGCCAGCAGGTCCGTGGGTTTGCACATGAACATGCTACGACTTTAATTTCTAACGAATGGAAAAATAAGTTTTCTAGTGTTCAGGTCATTTGTCAACAGATGGCATTATCTTATAGTAGGTATGGCTTGTGTGTAATTAAATTGTATCTGTGTTGACAATGTATGTTAAATCAAAATAGTAACTGTAATATTTTATTTGTATCAAGTATTGCTGACAGTTTTATCAGTGTAATACAGCCAGTGTGAAACCAAAATAGAAAGACTTCATTCCTCAAAGATTTCTGAGTGCTTGAATCCAAGAGGGTCCAGCACCTACTCAGTAGCTGAGGGTTTGGAGTACCTCAGAGGATCTAGAGAAACTCAACACATGGAGACACTTAGAACTCCAGAAGAGTTTAATATTTTAATTGCTAGGTTTATGCTCTTTCCCATTTTTATTAATCTTTCTTCTTTTTGTTCCTTTCTTCCTCCACTTCTCACAGCTCTCTTTTTGTCATGCCAATATGTCTTGATTTTGACTGCCAGTTTAGGCAACACATGCAGCATCTCAGTTTCTGACACAGCGTGAGTCAAATACGTAGCACAGATTTAGGATTGGAGGCAGTTGGTGAATTTCTGTTTGTACTGTCTTTCTAGCACATTGAGTGCTGCTGCTTTGATTATTATTCCTACCAATATATTAATTTCATTTTTATTTCAATATTATTTTTATTTCATATTAAGATTATATAATTTTGTTATCAAAGTAGCTTGCTTTCATAAAGATTGCACAATGCCACCCATTTCAAGTAATTAGATAGCACAGGAGTTGCAACTGATATTATCATAATTATATATCAGTGCCTTTTGACATTCATCCTTTAACTCTCTCTATAAAAATCACTGTAATTAGGCTCTTCATTTCTTTCAGTGAGTATAATTTTCTCAGTGCTCCCTAATACACAGCATTCACAGGAAAAAATATCTGCAGTGATAGTTTGTATGACAAGCAGCAGCCCCCCTTGCTTGGCACCACCTCATTAAAAGCTCCTTCTTTAAGATGAACAGCTGACACGTCAGAGAGCATCATCCTATCTCCCCAGGGGAAGCTGGTGACAGGGAAGGAGTTAAGGAAATGAAGGAAATGGCATGGTGGCATCACTGTGGGAAGACACACATCATGCCACTGGGTAAATAGTCCCTCTATGGAGACTGCCACTCACCAGACCTTATTTACTACTGCTGTGTAGTGCCATACGGAGACAACAGAGCACCAAGCCAGAGTAACTGAGTCAGAGCTACAGCCAGAAAATCCACTCAGAAAACCAAAACCTTTCATAGCTCAGAAGCAGAATATATTTATTAAAGTGCAAAACACTTCAACCCTTTTGCTTTTGCTGGCCATCTGAAAAATCTGCCTCCTATAATTGGAGGCCATCTTATAATTAGATGTCTAGCAGTACAAAGAAGTTCTTTGTTGGTGTTGTAAAAGCACTTGAACAGCTGTGTAGTTTCACTCATTTCAGAGTTCAGTGAGACTAGGCACGTCACTCACGAAGGTGCTTTTGGAAGTCCCCCTAGACACCTCTACAACGGTAGGTGTCTAGCTGCCTTTGTAAGTCCCATCACTGAACCTGCAGAAGATAATTTTCTTGCAACATACTCCCTTTTCTTCTATGTCATCTGTAAAAATGAGATGCTAATAATAACTCTAAATCTATTTCAGATATGCCCTCAGGCTCCTAAATGTAGTATTTAAGAATTCAGACTTATATTTCCATTTCTGAGAGCATTTCAATACCACGAGACAGAACACCTTGTAGACATCCAGATTTCCTACAAACTGCATCTATTCTGAAACTAGCAGCCACCTGCCTGTGTCAGTGCAGGTAGATGTTGGTTTAGCAAGTCTTTGTATCATATTCTACTGTGTGTACTTACGCTGAGGTACTTCTAAATCTTACTTTAAGACTTTCCATCCTGTTCCAAAATGAAAAAAGAAGTATAAAGGTGTGAAATAAAAATATGTATGTTGTTCATTGTTCTGAATGCTTTATAAAGACCCTGGTAGAAAGAAGAGAGATGGGGGGAAAAAATTAGTGTTTCTCCTCTGACAGACCTCTAATGTGTTTCAGATTCTTCTGCTAGAATATTGATCATCCTGACTACAACAGGCATAATGATTTTTAATAGCAAAGGGAACTGACGCTGTCGATCACAGTTACAAGCTTCATGTGGGTATAAAAGTAACACTGAGGTCAGAAACAGGAAAATCCAATTGAAGTATTTCAGTCACATCAGTATCTAGAGAAAATAAGTCAATTAAGTGAAAGAATGATACTAGAACAGATGGGAGGGATTTCTTTAGATGGAAGAAAGTCTGCAATGGAAGTCTAAAACGATTAAGAGCTCTCATTTGGAAAACAAAGGGAATACTACAGTTCAGAGTTTCTGTTGAATCAGGTTTTTCAAAACCTACCCGAGATTTGATACAATTAGCGTATCCCAGTTTTTCTTTACTTAAAACCATTTTGCTGGTTTCAAGCTTGGATCCCTACTTGTAGTGAAACTTTCAGGCTGGATTTTCAGATATATTTCTTACTGATGCTAGATTAAGTAAGTTTGCAAAGGATCTGTTTGCATCCCCCTTTTTCTAAAGATTTCTCCGCTTAGATTGACTCCTTACCCCCAGGAGAGATTACTGGTAAATAACAGCCAAGTAGAAACTGCTGCTGCTACAGCCTATTCTGCCCGCAGTAGGTTAACTGCCCCAAACATTGTACAGGGGGGTGCCATAGGTGCAAGTCTCAATAGCTTGATGCCAACTGTTTTCTTCTCCAGGTCAAAAGAATATCTAGCTCATTAAGTGTTATGGATTTTTATTACTTCCATGCTGTTAGAGCCAGGACAAACAGCTAGGTAAAAGGACAGGGTATAGCCATTTCTCCCTCCCTTGAGGAATTAAAACGTACAGTAGAGCTAGTCCCAAATGACACGTTCAGTTTGGAGCTGCCGATATTACAGTGGAATTTGGCTCTTGAAACACATGTGAATTTCATGACTTTTTCCTATCTCTGTAATGTAATAACCAACTATTTGGATCCAAATGTTCCACCACTGCAAGCAAAGCCAAAGTTTGCAGTCTGTGTCTGCCTCTGGGATACAGGTTAGCTTATGCTAGAATCATAGTAAATCCTGCAGTTCTTATATATTTCTGGTAATTACAAAGCACTGAAAGTACATCTATCTTGGCATGGTTTGTTATGTGCAGACCGGGGAGAAGGCACGTTTTAATCAGCTATAACAATGCAATACCAGTGAAGAAGTGATGTCAATGTGCTATCAATAAATAGTAACTCATGAGAATTATTTTTAGCAGGTCTGTGTAATCAGACTTGCCATATACCTCTATTTATTTGCTCATAATTAATAATGACATAGTTACCAAAAGCTGTATGAATTCCCGAGTTGTTTTGTAATTCTTTAAACTTCATTTTCCTCTTCCGTTGATACTCACTGTTTTGGTTTGGTTGTTTTTAGGTGGTTGGTGTGAGTAGATGCAATATCATGTTATGCTGAAGGCAGGAGGTTACACAGTGGTGTTTAGTTGGCTTTACATTTTCTCCATAACTATATCATGGTTTGGATGGCATGAATAAAAAAAAAATGTAGTCTTCTAAGATTGACTGCAGCACAGTGCACTATTTTGTAGTTTTAAAG